TTTATAGCGATAGTTTAGTGATAGTCGGGCGCGAGATCTATGTTTCTTGGTGAAAAGTCGACGACCTCCCAGACCAATTGAAAAAAAAAAATACTCGCAAAAATGGCTCGCATGACTCGCATGACTCGCATGGCTCGCACCGTGGCTCGCATGGCTCGCAGATTTAGCAGACCCATGTTTTGGAATGATACCGGTTTCGCCCCATGGCGAGTTCGCCCCCACTATAAAATTCCTATTTCGAGTTCGCCCCCAACTTTTAGTGTTCGTGCTTACGTAGTTGTTATCGAGTTATTAAACGTTTTCGAAGAACCATTTCAGTCTATGTATGTTCGATAAGCTTAGATGATGATTGTTCACTTGTTCGCGCGCGCATAGCAACAAAGTCCAACGGTTACCGGTCATCTCGCCACCAGGGAGTCTCGCCACCAATGAACTATCCACCAAGCGAAGTCACCTCACCACCAAGCGAAGTTTCCTCGCCACTAGTAAATAAGGCTGTGGATAAAAGAACGAGGAATAATCACTAAATGCGGCTCGATCTGGTTGGGGCGAACTCGATCAAGTTGAGTCGATGTGGGGGCGAACTCGGTGGAGGCGAACTCGCCATGGGGCGAAACCGGCAGCTACCTTTTAGAACATGGCCGTGTAGCATTGCTTCGTTCTCAGAATAAAATTCTGTTGAATTTACTGGTTATCGAGTTTATCGAGCCCAATTTATACAGCGTTAAGTCTTCTCCCTACATGGGCAAACATTTGCCATCGGCGAATCGTCCTCTGGGCGAAACGAAGCGAAAAAGAATGTTTCAATAAAAAGTTACAAGCTTACTCCAAGCTCATAAGAATATCTACTCGTCCAAGTTGACTGGCTGATTATTTGAAAACAGAAGACTACAGTATTATATATTGAAATTAGCTAAGGGTTTAATGATGTCCTCGCTCGATCCAGACGATGACCTTGACTGTATGGCAAGGTCTGTAAGCCATGATATTTTACTGACTATGAACCACAAATCGTCATTAGATTGGGCAGTAGTTATATCCAACTGGTTCTCATTTGTTTGAAAAAACAAAATTTTTTGCATGGATACACCAGCGAATACAAACTGATGCGCATCAGACAAGATACCGAAATAAAACCAGTCTGGTTTCTCGGATGAGAGAAGGAGAAGTTGAACAAGTAACTGCGCTACAGACTGATCTTTTAAGCAAGCCTGTCGTTTAGCTTCGACAACGCCAATTGGGTCGTTAACGTTGTTGTACATTATGTAATCATACCTGTTGGTGGGAAGAGCGTCGGATTTTATGGTTTGTTCAGATCGGAGTGTCAGCCCCTTAAACACACAAAGCGGCTGCAAGATGGCGTCGAGAATCATCCTTGTGTCGGATTCGGTGCTGTTGGGTTGAATGTAGAGTTCATTAAGGTTTCTCACACTTCCATCGGGACCACATACGGCTTTCACCGCGAAATCAACCCTTTCATAGATCTTCTCCAATGCTTCTTCTGTTAAATCATGTCTGATCTCAGGCGGAACAAAAGCGATGTCTTGGCGTTGGATGTAGCGTTCTAGCATTGCAATCGTCCAAGTTGATCCCGTGCTTTCACGATCAGACTTAATTTTCAAAGCCCTTTCGTATTGTTTCCATTGTCTCTGAAGTTCTCCAAAGTCTGGTCTCCGTAACAAACTCTGAAGAGCTGCAATTGCTTCAGTTACAGCCTCTTCTTTCTCGCGTGACTTCTCATCATGTTCCGCAGCGAGCTTCCTTGTGAATCTGCCAACTAGCGACTGATCAGATACAAAGGGCGCAGTCCTGCCAGAAGCCGGGGGAAGCAAACCGGTATTCAGGGGATTTAAGAACGCTTTCCAAGACCAAACAACCACGCGTTGATGGCGTGAGTAATCTTCGAAATGGTCCCCCCAAAGTGCCATGCAGAATCAGCGCAGAACAATCCGATTATATAACAATCTGGTAGTTTGGTAGAATGATTCTGACCAACTCGTTTTCGCATCCTCAATTTTAACAACGGAAACAGCAAGACGTGGGAATATTAGATATATATGTATTTACAACGCGAAGTGTGAAGAGCTGGTGGATACTTCAGGGTGTGAAACATTTGTTACCCCTAATGCTTTGGTGTAAAGTGTTTTAACAGAGGATTGAAACGTGACTCGTCGTTGTCCATCATGAGTTTCATTGGTCCTTTTTTTGTCACGTTATGCAGCCTCGTGGAGAAGTAGCAGGAGAAGTAGTAAATAATTTCTTAATTTAATTTTTGCTTAATTTATGCCTTGCTTGAGTAGTTTTCTCAGAGAGCCTAGGAGTGCTGACAGACAGAAGAATAACAAGGTAAGAATTATCCTCCTTACATGTACAGCGTGAAATTCGGTTGGCTTTTGTACACGGTGAAATTTCAAGGATAATATTCCAATGGATCTCAATGAGTCTTACGATTCATCGGTATCGGACCCGACAGAAGAGTTACTGTAAACATCGCTGTTATCTCTGTCAAGGTCCCAAATTTTTACAGAACCTTTCTCTTCTCTTGACTCAACCTTTTTGCCCGCTTGATACGATAGCTATAGCTTCATCCCGCAAGGCCAACTTTCGCTTCTTCACTCATTGATGTATTTTCATTCGTTCTTCGCTGTTTTCGCTTTTTCGAACTGCTCCATGGAGTTTTCCGTGGTCTATGTTTACTTACAACTTAATAGAATTACACCTAATCCGAAAAATGCTTGGACTGTCTGTGGAACTGTCTTTGGGTGAAGGACATTCATAGCCTGTATGTAAATTCATGAGTACAATTCTCTCAACCTGCAACCTTCAACCTCCAAATTACACCCTCCGGTGTGAACATACTTCCGGGGTAGATATATAAAACGAAAATAAAGCATGTGCATGCCTCGTCCCCAGGGCTTCCCCTCCTGTTTAGAGATATGCAGTAAAACGACCACTGTCATCCCCCGCAGAGATCTCTAACTAAGATCGTTCGATAACAAAACCTATTTTAATTTAGTAGAATTCTACTAGTATACTAATGCAAAAGCTGCAAGCTACTCGTATACTATCAGCCATTAGAGTTCAGTGGCTGTCGGTCGTCCACGAAATGCGATGTTTTTATCGTTTTTCCGAAGTTTTGGAAGAAAGTTTAAATGTAAGTGGATAATTAAATTCCTGAGAAGACTAAAAGAAGGACATTGACGGTTTCTTGACCTTTCAAAACTTGAAATTATTGGAAAAAACGGGTGCGCGCGCGTAAACAACTGAAAATTAACCGAGGACAATTCGACACGTGCGATTTTGTCAAAGCGTGAAGTTTAACAATGCGTAGAAAAATAATTGGAAACCCTTATTTGCGGTAATTTCAGTTAGAATTCTACTAACACAATTAGATTATCCGCTCTCGATTTCTATGAAGCGATAGTTGATTCGCCTTCGGCCTCATCAACTATCATCCCATAGAAATCTCGAGCTCATAATCTAATTGTTAAATAGTGGACCCCGGTCAATACGGACACCAAAGGGACATCCAAAATTGTCTGTGCCACGGCATGCCGGGTACATCACGGACAACAGATCGTGCTCCGAGAGAACACATCCCCCAGTACATGGGCCTCTTCCAATGGTAATTTTTTTTTTCAGTCTACTTTTTAGCGCGAGGTCATACTGCGAGGTTATTTTAGGAAAGACACCTGATCGGTCAATTTAAATGACGTAATTAACAATTATTCACCGGAGGTAAATATCCACCACTTTCACCGTCACTGAGGTGATTAATTGTTCTAGTATATACCACACAAGCTGAATAACTAGCGGACCAAAGAGTAACTTTATTTGTTTAAGAGTAACTTTATTTGAAAAGGGAAGCCATATTGTTTTTCTTCGGCTGCTCGGAGGTGAATAGTACTTGGCTAATCACCTCCGAGCTAGCCAATCAGCGTGCGCGAAAAGTGCTATTCACTTGTGTGGCATATACTAATGAAATTTATTATGGCTTGGTTTTGTAAATTAAACATACAAAAAATTTGCACTTAGATTTTAGAAGTGATTTTCGTATGAAAGAAATCTAACTGTCCAGCGCGTGGTAAGAGCTTTCCAAAGAAATCGTTTTCGCTTTAGTACATTCAGTACTTTTCAAGAAACGATTTTTGAACGTGTTAGAATGCAATTAATTAATTAATTAATTCTTGTAAGCAACCATGCCTTGGGGAGGGGAGGGGGGAATCCCATATAAAAACGACGGGGGTGCTCGTCGGACCTATTGGGGGAAAAACAAAGCAGTTTTAGTACTTCTTAGGGTGTTCAGCCTCAAAAGGTCCACAGTGGCAGCTTTCGCGGTACCTTATAGGGTATTGATATCTTGGGCCGAAAAATGTCAGGTCATATTTTACAATCAACTGATTTTTAATTTTGCCCCATTCACAATCGTCTTTATCACTATTACAAGTATGAACGTGTCAGTTAACGTGTTATTTTAGAATTGGTGCCTCTTATAAAGGGTTACAAAAATTTCTAGCCACGCCCACAACACAGGATCTTGGTACCTCTTCGGACCTCTTAGAGGTTCTTTTAAACATTTCTGACGGAAACCCCCGTCCTTTTTTTATGGGAGTCCCCCCGGGGCCCGCCCCCGGGCAGCCATGGCGCCTCACGTGAGTCAGTCATGCAGGGATGACTTATCGTTTCGAAGTGAACTTCGGATAAGCACAAAGATAATTTTCCTGAGCAGTGGTTTAAATACTTTCCAAATAGACGTGGCGTGCAAACTCAGGTAAATATTACACAACACTTTTGAAATTAAGACTGAATTTCTTTTCTTTTTTTTAACCAGTTAGATTTTCAATTTCGGATTTAGATGGACGCGACCCGATGACCGTTAGGCATTGGCTGCGCGATCAAAGAACTAAGACTAAAACTAACTTTCACAGCGTGGCCCGGAGCTTAAATTAGATTGTCATTGGGCGCACGGGAGTGTGTTCTCTTAGATTATCGTCTCATGTCACGGACAAATGCTTAATTGAAGCCCAAAATATAAAAGTTCCCGAACGATGTTCATGTCTTGACTGCAAGTTCTAACTGAAGAAACCTAACGCTCATTCAAATATATGTGTCTCGCATAGTAGTTAAAGGTCTCCTGAATTAGTGAAAATCTTAGTCCAAGAATCTATAACCAATCTAATCTTGTGTCAACATAGCGTGTTCCAGGCTCTCGGTCAGTAGGGACGATGGAAAAAGCGGGCGAGCGACGAGCGGCGTCAGCGACGAGCGGGGACGAGCATACAACTTAGCTCGAGCAAGAAAGAAACTAATCTTAACATTGTATTTCCAGCGGTGAATGTTGTTCAGATTCTGAGCTCTTACTCAGACAGCCGATAGTAATAGCATATTGATAGTTCAGCTCAACTTTACAGAGGGTACAGATTAGAAATAAATATAGTAGAGAAATAAATCAGGTCGAACCTTTTTGCTCTAGCCCCACTTTTCGCGCTGCCCAAATGCGAAAAAGCTCTTATGTTCGGCTCGTACTGGATCGCTTCTTACGCAGGCTAATCATAAAGTACAAGTGTAAAATGGACGCAACAAAAATCAAAGCAAACAATTATTTCTCGACAATATCAAATATTTTACTTTTTCTTAACTGCTGTAGCAACCATGATTTCACAAAAAAAATAATCAATAATACAAATAAGAATCTTAAGATATGGACGCTACAAATCTGTCACGAGAGGGTCTGGGAGGGAAATCCAAGTTGTAAGTACTAAGACACTTTTTTTTTCTCTTGTCAGTTGCCAGTAGTACCCAGAATGCTGAAACGCATTGATAAGGACGTCAATTGATACAATGGCTGTTTTTCAGCCAGCTCCCAGTCCCGTCCGCAGACACTCTCGAAGCGATTTCTCAGTTAGGAGTTATCTACTTGCATAGGCTCGAAGAGATCTGGAACGAGTTCAGACGGATTTTATAGGAAAAATAAAACAAAATTTATTTCTAAAAATGTAGAACGAATAGATTTCAAGGCTTCTTTTCTAAATATTGTAAATAAAGAATAAACAGTACTACTAGGTATCTCTTATCAGTCATTCTCGGTCACAGTAGACAGGAGCTCTTAGAAGTCGGATGTCATGCGCTTTGCTCCAGACCTTCTCTCCGTTGCCCAACTGGACACCATACCACGTGACGAATTTCTGGGTTACTTTGCCCTGAGAGAAGCCCAAGTTGTCCTTGGAGGCCACAATAACTTCTGATCCAAGTTTTATCTCGGTTGGTTTGGATTTCTTGTCAATGATCACGTAGAATTGTTTAGCTCTAGGCCTTTCAACGATCTCGTTGACTTTGGCGCCATGTTTACCGGAGGGGGATACCTCGACACTTGTTTTGCGGACCTTGGTGATGAAGCCGTGGAAGAAGCGCGTGTGTTCTTTGACGGAATTCCAATGAGCAAATACTTCTGAACCAATGGTGAGACAGTCTGAAATGATAGCAATCAAACCGTTTTGTTTAGGAACGTATTGTACATGACCAGAAGATTACGTTTTAACTGTTCTTTCTCGATTACCCCCAGCGTAATTTTGAATTTACTCTATGTTGGGTTTAGTAATCATCTCCATTTCAGCCGCTTTTTGTGTCCTCGAGTAGCTTGCAATACAGAAGCAGGTTCTTGACACGGGGCCACTAATTTGGGGTATACAAGTTCACTCAGCACAATTAATTAAAGGCGTGAACAATCGTTAAGTATTGTTTAAACGCAATGTACAGCTGCAAAGGAAACTGCATTTTTCACGTATTCCAGTTCTCTTGTTGTAGTTTCCGAATTATGGGTTTGGGAGTCATTTGTTTTCTCCACGTCTTATGTCTTGTCCAAACTCCAACAGTCCTCGGCAACTCCGCTCCCATACCTCATAGACTTTGACTGATAAAAGAAAACAATTGTAATAAATACAGTTGATTCTTTTAAAGTTCCTCATTAGAAATCCGCCTGAATCTCATCCCTTATACTAACTATCCTTGCTTCCTACCTTCGAAACCTGTAACTTTGAAGTTCCTTCCGATTTGGATGTCATTTTGTTATTGGAAGTATGGCTTCCTATACACTGACAAACCAAACGCCCCGTCCCCATGACCTTTTCTCTCACTTGGAAGCGAGGCCCCGCCCCCATGCGAGGAAAAAGGCCATGTGAACGAGGCTACTGCCAAAAGTAGTTTCTTGAATTACTTGGTAAAGAACATTTTCCAACATTAGAAGCTTATCCCTCGACAACCTACACTCACCTGTTTGAAACTCGCAACCGTAAACTTCTGCTCTCAAGCAGACGGTGGAGCCCATGAAGTCTTTAGAGTTCTGATGACGCAATATCCTTAATGTCTTAGCTACAAGCTTTTCCTTCAAGTAGTGCTTCATCACAGTGTTACCGTCTCTGTTGCCTCTGAACACCTTCAGATAAAAAAAAAAAATCAAAACAAACAAAACAAAAAACAAAACAAAACAAATGAAGGGAAAATGGCCTGAATAAATAGGTGATTCTCTTGCGCCCTCGATTCTTCTCTCGTCTGGGACTGGACCCAAAAATTCCACTCTGATGACGTAGCTCTAAAGACATCCGTTTGTATCTAAAAGGTTGTTGCTGTGTTTTGAAATTCCCCGAGCGAGTAAATTATCCCAAGAGCTTATGCACTATGCGGCTATTTGTGGAGTTACTTCACGTATGGAGTTTCCCGCGGCCCAAAATCTCGAGCGTCTCTCAAGCGAAGGAACAGTTGCAAGCAGCAAGAAGAAAATTGTTTACCCAGACTATATACAGGGGTAAAATGGTCACTGGCATTTACCAACTTTTTCGCTGGGAAAATGTGGTTTGAGTTACTGGGACTAGAAATCACAAACAAAAACTGGGAATTCTCCCCCTTTGAAGCCCATCACAAGAGACGACTGACCACTTTCAAAATCAAGTCAAACGGGGTAAGTAGGAGTTGCTTTAGTTTCCTCTAGGTATTCGATCTTCGCACAGCGCTAATATTTAATCAAATCAGAGCAACAAAGAACATATGGAGTTAGATTGTTATACCTTGTCCCGTCCCGATTCCTGATAGGTAAGCCAGTTCTTCCCCAATAAATATTTCAACACGTATTTCAGGACCCATTTCTGTTCTCTGGGATGACCTTGAGTAGCGACAGCAGTGACCTCCATGGTGCGGCCAAAATCAATCTGAAAAAGAAACGTGTATTGCAGTGCGGCCGTAATCTCGTGGTAGAAAAAGGCTTCCTATTCGATCTATAGGTTATTCGATGATTTATGATAAATTATTCTTTTTATTGCTTGGGTTAGATTTCTTGCCACTGATCCGTTTGTTTGTAAATAACTAAGTGAGCGGAGGAAGTTAAATTTCTTATCATGATATTTTGTATGCGAGGTTATCCTATTAAATAATAGGTTACTGAAATGGTGTCAAGCTCAAACAACCAGCTCAGTACAAAAACCTGCTCCAGGGTGGTTGCTATTCACTAATCAGATAGGTCAACTTTTAAAAGTTTCAAAGGCGGACACCATTCCCAAGTGGACAAGTGTGTGTGTCAAAGATCGACTGCTGTTTGATTGAACACAAAATATTTAGATGTCATATATAGAACTAACCTGAAAATATTTGGGAAAACTACTCCTCGCTGAACACCAAGCGCTGTTGCCATGGAGACGGCCATGTTTGGCGCCATGTCGCGAGTCTCGCTCTGATGAAGCGGACAGCTGGTGGCTAAAAATCATCCTGTTCTTTAAACCAAGCGGTGAAGAGCAACCTGGAAACATACAACAACTCTTATACCGAACTAAGATATATCAGTTCCTTCAAACGAATGTGAGGTGTCCAGTGTCAGTGTTTCCTAAGGCAATAAAACTACAGTTAATCGAAAAAATCAAGAGGGCTACGAACGACAGCTCTAAGAAGTTACTAGGGAGTGTTTACTTGAAAGAGCCTAGGAGTTATTTACCAGGCCCGGGTTGTTCGAAAGGTGGATAACGCTATCCACCGGATAAATTACTATCCAGTTGAAAGATTGGTTTGGTTTGTTAACACTTATCCGCTGGATAGCGATTTATCCGGTGGATAGCGTTATCCACCTTTCGAACAACTGGGACAAGATGTTTCGGAGACTTGAAGTACACCATGGGCTATTACTGTTTTAGACTTCGTTTAGTGTGACGGAGGTTCTTTAAGCCAAGCTGCAGTAACTTGCTACAGTGAAACTTGAAGAATTGAACGTTAGAGCGTGGAGCGATCGGTCAGTGCTGACACTGGACAATGGGGACGGCCAGATCTCGAAAAAAACAGGTACCCAATGCTCACGCCATAGCTAACAACCCGTGAAGCTACCTTGAACAAATATTCTTTATACAAAATGTGTAACATGTCCAAACTTACTGAGGCATGCAGGTGCCGGATTACTCCAATTCCCATGAATCTGGCATCTTGTAGTTTCGTGGCCACGAGGGGAGAATCCATTGTTGCATTGATATTCAACCACATTTCCAAAAAAGTATTTGTTGCTTGGTTCTGATGCTAATTTTCCGTGAGCTGGTTTACGAGGGGCATCACAAGTTTGCACTGCGGGTAAAATTAGTTTATTGTTAGCTTTCTGTCTTTAACTTTTTCGAAATTGGAAGCGCGCATCCTTATCTCCTGTTGTTTACCTTCTCGTCGAAATTGAAAGCGCGCAACGACACAGCCTAAAGTGAGGAAAGTTCCATACAAATTGAGATCTAAACACTTACGATAGCAGATTGGTTGAACTCCACTCCAAGTTGCGTTAGCCAGACATCGTCTCTCTTTAGATCCCCTCATGAGGTAGCCCTCAGCTACATTACACATGAACATATACAGCGCTCCGAAGGTTTCTCCTGTTTTCTTTTGAATCCATCCATTTGAAGGGCTGGCGAGAGTACCGCAATTTACAGCTACGTCGAGAAAAACAAAAGAAAAACACCTAACTTTATTTACTGATCATATAAGATACGCCGCGCTTTTACTGATAGGCCAGGGCCGGGTTGTTCGAAAGCCGGTTAACTCTAACCTAGGATTAAAAGTTAATCGAAGTATCCATTTTTCTTGTATAAAAATGTTTTTCATTGCTTATGTTTTGTGTAGTTTGTGATTTTTCTAACTCAAACCTGAAAGGCAAACAATACAAACAGAAAACAGCACCCAAAAGTTACAAAACTCAAATAAAAATTTTCTCTAATCTTGGGTTAGCTTAATCGGTCTTTGAACAATCCGGCCCAGGTGTATACCAATTAAAGGAGCAAGAAGAGGAGAAAATATCGATTTTCAAAGAGAACGAAAGTATTGCCTACAAGCATCATCCAACACATACAAAACGAGCCGGAGTTTAGTATAAAGTAACACGGCAAGAAGAATTATCCCCAAGTCAAAGTAACTTCTGGTTAGTTGGAGAGCGAGTGACAATTGCTTAACTGTCACCCGCCGAGCAACCTTTAGAATTTGCCATTGCCCCGTCCCCATAAATGGACCTATAAGAGCGCGCGGTTGATACAATGAACAACAGCTAAAATGCAATTTTAGCTATAGACTTCCTCGTCAGTCTTACTCGTATAGCAGTTATTGTAATAGCGCTAATGTGGCTTCCTCAATAAATATTGCAATTAATCAATGTGGTATTTTTATCATTACCTTGGCAGTTGAAACTATGTTTTGTCCAAACGCTGTCTGTACACTCGATCTGCGGAATTCCCACCAGTTTGTATCCAGCCCTACAGCTATAGTAAACTCTCTCGCCATTAAGATATTTACTCTGCGGGCCGCGGGCTGAGGTGACATACGAGTATTTAGGAACTTTTGGAGCATTACAACTTGGTGCTGAAAAAAAAAAAATTACATCAAATCAATTTAACAGGATAGTAATTTGATTTTATAAAAATAATTGGCTGGATTCCATCATCATGGGAGATCCCGTTCTCAACATTTCATCATCTATACATGGTATTGCCAATGGAAAGTTACTAATGTATGGCAAAATACGCGTTATATTTCGGCTGGAAATGTCATCATTCATTTATAATTTAGCATGTACGTAAAAGGCTAAGACTTAGGTCATTTTCGATATACTGTATGAAAATTCTAACTTGGCCCCGGGGTTTGGGGGAATAAAAAATCCCCAAGCCTCGGAGCCAAGTTAGAATTTTTACATATCGAGAACGACGTATTATATTTAGCTCTTATTAACCAAGCAGGAGGTCTGTATGGGAGAATCTTGACCGAGGTTGTGAGTACAGACCGACCGCAGTGAGGTCTATACACACAACCGAGGTCAAGATTCTCCCATACAGACAGACTAAGCTTGATTAATAAGATATTTAGTATATGGCGCAAACAAAAACAATTTAATTCGTTTAATGAGACTCGTTTATACTAACCTGACTAACTGATATTTTGCTTGCGAACGGCGATGAGCTGAATTTAATTTTGCCAAAGTTTGCTCGTCCTCTTTACTCTTTACTCTCATCAGGCTTTTTGGCACTTCCAAAAATAGATGTTGTTAGATGAAAATAGTAAATGATTTTGCATTTTAGTTTGCAACTTTTTCACTGCAAAACATTACCGGTCTAGATGCCGGTCTAGATGCCGGTCTAGATGGGAAAATCTTGACCGCTTTCAATATCGATTTCAGCAAATCAAATTCGTCAATTTGGTAGTTCCCAGTCCTTGTAAGACAGAGCCATATAATAAGTTTTCAACTAAACCGTAGAAAATTCTTCCTTTCTCTAAACGGCAAAACAAGCCAATAAACACCACCAACAACAAAAATTACTAGCCATATGTTCGATGCTAATAACATTTGTGCAAGAAGTTGAGTGTCACACCAGGCTTTAAGGACGTTGGCGCTAATTGTTTCTGCGCATCCTTACGGCGCACACAAATTCATACGCCACGTCATGCATCGATGCGCGCGCTAAGTAATGAAATGAACAATGATAGGGCAGATGGCCATTCCTATAGACCCTATTCATAAATGGCTGCCAATTTGAAATTCCTTTGTAGGTATTTAAATTAGCCCAACTAACCTCGTTTGAAAGTAAAAATTCTTTTGAATTATCACCTCAAAAACGAGGTTAGTTGGGCTTATTTTAATACTTACAAAATAATTTTTAATTGGCAGCCATTTATGAATAGGGTCTATAGTTTGCCTGGATTAAACGATCTTGGACGTTCGGTGACCCCTATTTTCCTTTTGATGGATCATTTTCTCTACCGATTTTACGTTTAGCGAAAAAATGAAGAAAATCTATCGATTAGAAGTTTGAATTTTTTGCAAAATGCACCATCGAATTCCGTTTTTTTTAGCTCTCCGTTTATCTGTGCGGCGGTTTCAAATGCTTCTTGAAGGGATAAGTTTTGCGGAAACGTTGGCAACATTTAGAATTATTAACGAAACAGACCCACTCCTACAAAAAAAAATATGAGTCTCCTCTGTTGGCCTCCGTTGACACACCTTCGATATTTTTAATTATAAACCCCTGTAGACCATGCTGAATTACATGCGCCAATTTTCCAAAATCAGGGCAATTTTCCGCACGCCTTATCCCTGAAACGAAGTGGGTGAACCCCATTTTTTCGCATTTCTGACACAAGTAACTCACTATCCGACTGCAGTAAAAATTTAAAAAAATCATCGATTGGAAAATTTTCGCGCGAACGTCCTTAATCTAAGAATACTCGTAAGATTATTTCCAGCCTTAAATCGGCAGAAAAATAAGAATGTTCACCTGGGTCGGATAAACAATATTCTTATAAGAAAAAAAAAAAGGATGTAGCTGACCTGGGAACAGGAAACTATAAACATTCGGCGTAGCGCATTTTTCAATTCACTGATCGGTGCTATTGCCAAATTCTTTACGATTTGTTTCCAAAATAACGCCCAGCTGAACTGTCGGGTCTACGAGGCCCAGTTTTAAATAAGCGCGTGTAAATCGAGAAAATACGGATTAAGCCTTTTTGACTTTTCAATTTCAACCAATCACTAACTATTGGCGTTCAAATATGATACATAGATAAAAACAACAAACATAAGAGGCTTACCAGTTTGTGCATGTACCTTGTTCAAACGTTATTACAAACAAAGTCTGAAGAACTAAGCAACCGTTAAAACTATTCCAATCGAGTCGCCTTCCAGAAGTCGTAAATGATCTTTTTCATTATTTGTTTTTTTTTTTAAGCAGTTTTTATTTACCGATATGCGCTTGAAAATATTTTCTAATTTCACTCGTCCTTATCGAATTAGCCATACTAAGCCAGCTTCTTAAGTCTTTGAGTGTTATCCAAACTTCCCAAGGGTATCATACCTCATAGTGCACAGCTGGAGTGACCCATGCAGTTGTTTCATAACATTGCCACTGGAAATGGGTTAGCGAAGTTAACTTTGCCCACACCAATAGCGCGCAAAATTGGATTACGACGCACATTTATTTACTGAGTTTCATAACATTCCAATGGAAATGGCTTAGCAAAGTTAACTTTGCTATCAATCTTATTTATTTATTTATTTATTTATTTATTTTTTTAATATAAATATAGATGTGGCCCGCCTAGATTAACCAAGGCTACCTGCGGGTTCGCGCTGTTACTATTATCAAGCATTTTAAACTTAATCTGTATATCTATTTCTGTAAAAATTGTAAATATGCGAGTCTTAATAATAATAATAAAGTTGTTGTTGTTGTTGTTGTTTGCTCACATCAGAAGCGCGCACCATTGGGTATGCCGCACGTTTATTTACTGAGTTTAATGGCAAGGGATTACAAGCTATGTGATTATACAATGTAGATGATACCCGCGGTTCTCTTTTCCTCTCCAGTAATGCACTTACCACTACAGTTGAATCGGAGTTCAGACCATTGACCCTTGTTGCATTTCCTCACGGGAATTCCGACCATAATGTAGCCAGCCTTACAACTGTAGTAAATACTTTGCCCGCTTTGATAACGCATCTTAGAAGCCTTCCACGTCTGATAAGCAAACGCAGGAACATCTGGGGCTTTGCTGCACCAATTGGCTATTTAATGAGCAAAATACAGTGATATTGAGTAACTTCGTTAAAAACTGTTCCTGAACATTTTCGAAGTCCAAACTTGTCTTGAAGAGTGGCAAATATATTGTATGAGTAATATGTCTTCCTTGGACTGTCTTTACTTTTCAAGGTAATGAGACAAATTAACTGGCTGGTCTAAAGAAATGAGGGTAGGGGAGCAGGGATGGTGCAGTGGTGAGAACTCTCACGTTCCCACCAGTGTGGCCTGTGTTCGATTTCGGCCCAGTGCCATGTGTGGGTTGAATTTGTTGTTGGCTCTCGCCTAGCTCCGAGGTTTTTCTTCGGATTCTCCGGTTTTCCTCCCTTCTAAGAAACCAACATTTCCAGATTCCTGTTCGACCTGGATAGAGGACCTATATGAAAATCACCTATGGCTTTTGTGGTTTCCTCTCTAAATATTGTAATTTGTTTCAGCATCATATATTATCTTTTCCACCGTTGTAGCTTGTGATATCTTGAATGGTGGCCGGATTACGTTAGATATATTTTTAAGACTAGTTGAATCAGGTGCTTTTTGCAATGTTTTATTCGCAAGAAAAAAAAAAACAAAACAAAAAAAACCGAAATCTATTCCTGATAATTATAAAAAAAAAAAAATTCCGGATGATTCGCGATTCAAATATTACAGACACTTGTTTTCAGATGTGTTAAGAAAATCACTTATCAACGAAAGCGAGAATCGATCATTCAAAATTGTTAGACACATTATCTTACAGACGCATTTTGGTTGCTGGCCACTCCACGATCCATTCCTTAAGCAACTTCGTTTAGAGGATCCCTCCAGTGTGAACCCACGATCACAAATGAAGTCCACCCAGTGCGGATGGGTTGTTTTGGAGCCCAAGATCCAGCCATTATGAGGAGTAGGAAGCAAACCACAATCCTGTCCTGAAGAGAAAACAATAATAACAAATGAATAGACCTACATTCCCGAGAAGAAAACTCATTGAAAAATTACCAGAAATAAGTAAAATGACATGGCGATTTATAGCAAGTCCCAATATATTTTCTTTGGGGTCTGTAACATGGAATTATGATGTCAAACAACATGGAAATGACATCAGTAGTTCCCAATTGAGACCCTTTATCTTAGATTCGCCATCTTAGATTTTATGATTTTCTTTAAAACGTCAGAAAGCCTCCAAAACTGTCTCAAAAATAACAAAACTATTGAAGAAAGCTAAAAAAGAAATTCAAAAGAGGAAAATGCGCCTACTTAAACAGGGCTGCCAAGGAAACATGAAGCGCCCTGACCATTGACTTGTCATGTGCAATTATTTCTCTGCAGATACACTTGAAAAGTCATCAAAAAATCACCAAACTTGGAAAAGTCACCAAACTTGCAGTTCATTAATTTAAACGCTTTTAAATCTCAAAGGGTTCAAAGTTGGCGCGGACGTCTAAAGCTCTCCACTCGCTCTTGAATAGGGTTAAGGGTTGATAACGCTATCCACTGGATCAGTAATCAAAAGTGAATAAGTTTCGGCAAAATCAATCAGACTTTTAACTGAATAGTGTAAAGCGCTAGCTCTAGCTCTACTGGAACTACCAATACCTAGGCATACAACTTCTCCACTTGTCCATGTGCCATCTGCCTGACACTTCCGTGTAGCTGTTCCCTGCAGAGAAAATCCTGTTTTGCAACTGAAAGACATCACGTTAGAATATGTTGTGGAGTTGCCATGGGCAACGCCATTCTCAGGAACGTTTAAGGGACCACAATCAACCGCTGTAGAAAAAGAAAGAACATTAGACTAGGGTAGAGTATTATTTCATGAGGAACAATAAAATTGGGCAAGGCAATTTCTCAAGAAAATGACTCTTTTGAAAGAATGACTACACTCCTGTAAAGTATCACTGAGCATGTATTTATTTATTTACTTACTTATTTATTTATTTATTTATTTATTTATTTATTAGGGTAGCTGTTATTTTGAAAGCTTCTCTCTTCCCTTTACTGTGAAGACAATAATAAGGTAAAGAACAAGCTTGAAAATGAAGAGTCAACAAAACAAAATATGAAATCGGTTTACACTAATCAGGAGTGATAACATTGCAAATATTGGAAAAAATAAACAATTATTGGATAAGGTTTTTGCTGATATCCAGAATAGTCAAGGTCGAGGTAGGGGTTATCAGCCGAGGCCGAAGGCTGAGGCTGATAACCCTTACCGAGACCTTGATTATTCTGGATATCACAAAAACCGAATCTAATAATTGTTTTATTATAGATTGAAAGAGAAAAAAAAATGGAAGTCATGTTTTTGCTTCTTTACTGACGGCTATTAACACAAAGCGCGCGAACTTGACATGATTGCCCTTCGAAATCATACACCGCGGTCATACATGACATGATTACCCGTGACTTTGAGTGTCCTTGACATGATTATGGTATAATCTGCAGCTAGATGACGTCACAGGCGCTGATTTCGAAAATTCACTGTAAGTTTTCGGCCAATCAGAATAGAGATAGTGAGTTCAATGTATAAAAATGCTAACAAAGAAACTTCAAAGGCATCGATGTTTGCCTGAGACAAATTTGACTTTCTCAAACATGTAAGTAAACTGAATCAAACCTTCCACTTACAATCATTACGTCGAGAATATGCAGAAAATGCTATTTGTTGAAGAGTTCTATTTATTTATTTATTTATTTTTTTTCGATCTTACCTTTGCACGAAGTCTCAATTCCACTCCAGTTTCCGTCGGCTTCACAACGCCGAACGTTTGATCCGTTTAAAAGAAACCCTTCATCACAGCTCAACGTTACTTTATTTGGAAAATTTGTTTCACGCCCGGCTATAGAACCGTTCAACGGGGCTGTAAGAGGACCGCAATCCTTAGCTGTAGGAGAGCAAAGAATGTAGTTTATAAATATCCTCATAGTCAATGTTCGATGAAGAAGGAGATCACACGGCCATGGGTTGAGACCTTCATTTAAAGCACCAACATAGCTAAATGAATATTTCTAAATTAGTATAACACGAAAATTTTCTGATCAAGCACATCATGACGTCAATGCCATCTCTTACAAGACAGCCCTCAATATAAATTGAAACGGATCTGTTCCTTGAAGTATCTGTTACCTAGCTGTGGTCTTACTACCTGGGAAACTCAGGAACACTCACCCGTACTAACCAACCCCTAGGCCGGGCATTATTTTGGGTTTTGATTCCTCAATTCCCACCTCCCCCACAGAAGATGTACAGCCACACCCCCAATTGTGTTTATTGAGTGTACATTCGTGTTATGAGTTTGCTGGCTAGAAAATTTTAGCAACGAAATTTGCCGAGATACATTCTGTTCCATGTGTACCCACTTAACATTTGAAAACAACAGTGTCTACTTCAATGCCGACCTTTCGTCACTTAAATCCAATTCATCATTGAATGATTTAAAACAAAACCGTACATATTCATTACCTTCGCAGAAGCTGGAGGTTCTGCTCCATGTTCCATTTGTCTGACATTTTATCTTAGGGAAACCACGAAGAATGAATCCCTCGTCGCAAGCGTGGTTCACATAATTTGGATACACTGTCTTATCGCCGATAATACTCCCATTCCGCAAGGGTTGGGGCCGACCACAGTCAACAGCTAAAGGTAAACATCACAAAAAAACAAGGTGCAAAGCAGAATAATAACACATGCGTCTTTCATGAGGAAACAAAGGCTTTTTATGGACTGCTAAATTATATACAGTTGTCAGGAGCAACGTTATAACGTAAAAAGTAATGTAAGTAATGTGGTGCTGATGATACTCTATCAACGTAAGAAGTGCTGCGATGTAAGCAAATGTTTTAAATGAATGTTTCAATGACACGAAAAAATATCGATTGTAATCGACGACAAATAACGATTGTCCGTCCGTCAGCCCATGAGACGAGAAAGCATGTTATTCACGTTCGACGAAAGTAAACTTAAATCACTTGGTGGCTGGATCCGAATATATAGCAATAAAATGTACTTTGCTTATACAGAGATGAGAACAAAATTAATCAGTTCAAAATATCGACAGGGGTAAAGCATTACATCGGAGTGCATTTAGATGCTTGCCGAATGCTGGCTTTGTGTCCAAAGCTCGCGTTAGACCATAGAAACTTACAAAGAATATTCGAAAACCAGTATCGTAGTGGTCGGTTTTCTAAAGAATAAACTTCTGTTTATTTCTGGCTTTCGAAAGCCAGAGTCTAAAAATGCAGGCCGTTTTCCTTGGTCGCCAAAAGGGAGGTCATTCTTCCAGGCGTCCCTAGCGTGGAATCTGGAAATGAGAATTGCGACAGCTTCCCAATCGTGCCCGCTCTTCGTAAACAAAATAACTTACAGAATGCTGTGTTTTGTGAAGAAAGTTTTAGAAAGAATCAAGCCTTATAAGATGGCGAACTTTTTCGGAACGGTTCAGTACACAAGTTCTATAGCTTGAAAGCTACCAAATTAGCAAAGTTCATTCTCGTTCTCACGAGATAACAAATGAGCCTTATGTGGGTTCAAACTACGGAAACAATGACAAAATTATAACCATGTACTTAACAACATACGATGCAGAGACGAACACCTCAGATGTTGAAAAAAATCAGGTTTCTTCGTGAAAATCGAAGCTGAGGCAAACAACATGCAACTGGATAAAGAGGATACTCAAGGAAGCAACTTGAGTGGTAAATATCTAAGCTAAACTCTTGTGTTAAATGTCCTGATTGTTTTATTTGTTTTTATTGTGTTCCATATTTGTAAGTATGATTTTATTTTACGATACGAAGCCCGACTAAACGCTCTTGGAGCGTCTAGATTTCTTTTTCTGACGTCAGCGCACAGTTTACTCTGTGATGAGAAGCGTACAGTAGAACAATATTGCTGTCGGTGCGTCAAACATACCACTACATATGGTTGAAAAACCATTCCATGTTCCATTAGGTTGGCACGTTCTTATGGTGGATCCATTGAGATTGAATCCAGGATCACAGTTAAATCTAACACCATTGGGGAACACCGTGGAGTTACCAGAAGAGGAACCGTTCATGGGAACAGGTAAAGGACCACAGTCGACAGCTGAAAGCAAGAGAAACGACTATGATTTACATGTAGTTTGAAAGTGGACCATTTGTGGAGAGTGTCATTTGGTAACTGTGGACAGTTAATTATGCGATAATGTTACTCTAATGAGTCGTCGCCAGTGCACTATAAACTCGAACGCTTCAATTAAAGCAAGATTTTTTGATATTCCTATTTTCGTAAGGTCATTTATTCATTGGCCCAAAATGCAATGGTTTGCAAATAAATAGCGATAGAACTCCTTTCCGATCTACACTTGACGCGATCTGAACATGTCATCCCTTCATGGTATATCCTCTCATGGACGATGAACACTGCCAAGGTTGTTATTAAATTAGTGCTGAAAAAACCCCATCGACTATTAAATTATAACAATGTTTCCCAGAGTATTTCATCCCTCAAAAGACTTATTTAGTAAAGTAAAAAAGAGAAGAAAGATACTTTTGCTTGAAACCTACCCACACATATGGTTGTTCGTCCACTCCATGTTCCATCAGGTTGGCAGGTCCTGATGGAGGATCCATTGAGAATGAAGCCAGGATCGCAGATAAAGTGCATACTGTTCGGAAACACAGTCAAGTCGCCCGAAGAGGAACCGTTCATGGGTACAGTCAAAGGACCACAGTCGACAGCTAAAAATGTGTTTAATCAAATAAGTTCAATTAGGATCGGAGCTGAACGTGTCTGCACCCTCTGCAAGTGTGATATATCCGGGAACTGGTACACCTTATGAATGCAACTAATAACAACAAACATATTAGGCTCCACATGCTTGAAGACAAAATGTCCCTTAACGCTGGAGATCTACTTCCCACTGGATAGGATGCTGGTCCATCGCAGGGTTACTTTGAGCATGGACCCCTTTACAACATCTGACATTGTCACAGACACTGCCTACAATAATATTACGGTTACTTACAATGCTAATACATCTACTCCATTACACTACTTACAATACTAATGTACAGTTACTTACACTGATTATAATACTTGTTGCTACAGCACAAATACTTAGACCCCTTAGAGTTTAAATTAACACAACTCAATGACCTGGCCAGGATCAAGTCCAGACCGGTTAATCCGGAATACTGTGTGCTAACGATTAGTCCACCGAGCCTCGAACTTGTCAGGTACACTCCAAAGAGTCTACGACCAGAGTATTTTAATCTCGGGGGTATACCGCTAAGAAAGACCGCTAAAATTTGGGTTTTTAGCTCTGTATTCATGTTTTCCTTTTTGAGAATTACTTCGACTGCAAAAATCTCGGAAGCAAACATCTAAAATCTACAACCTTCACAATATGTCTGATTTCCACTCCATGTTCCATTTGCCTGACATCGCCTGCTACGAGATCCTCTGAGGATAAATCCTTCATCACAATTAAAGTCGATCTTGTCTGGAAAGACTGTCAGATCACCAGTAGAAGAACCATTTGTTGGGACTGTAAGGGGACCACAATCTCGCGCTGGATACAAAGTTATATAGATTTTCTTATAAAAATATTGTACGGCAATTCGTAGTCGTTTTGTTACACGCCTATGTTGGTAACTACAGGACTAAAATAAAGCTAATATTTTTACGCCGATGGGGTTCTATGTGTAGAAAAAGTTATATAAATTACATAAAAACGTCATGTATGGAGCGAAACTAGTCTTTTCTCTTTGTGAAGAAATTAACAAAAGGTGTGGTTACACAAGCGAGCGGAATATGTGTTTGTTATTTCAAACCTACCAACACACATGGTTGTAAGCCCATTCCACGTCCCATTGGGCTGGCAAGTCCTTTTGGATGATCCAGTGAGAAGGAAACCAGAATCGCATTTAAATAGCACACTGTTAGGGAACACTGTGGAGTCACCGAAAGCCGAACCGTTCATAGGAACAGATAAAGGACCACAATCGACAGCTGGAAGTTTAAAACCAAAACGGAGATTAGAAAGAAATCGCGAATGATAAGTGAACTATTCCTACCGACTTTTAGTTGACGGCGTTTTAAGATCATCTCTCATCCAAAGACCTTATTATTCCTAAGGTGACTTTGACCTCATCAGTCAAAGTCTAAATCATAGATCGAGACTTAGAAGGGGGATTATATCACACCCATCTACCAATGCAAACTAAAAGGTCTTTGTTTAAGGTTGAGAATAAAAGAGGGAAGCCACCAGCTCCCAACTTCTCAGGAATTCTCTCCTTCCAGAGTGAATTCGCTAGCTAGTAAATAATAAATCTAGAGCGTAATATAGCCATTAATTGCCATAATAAAATGGAAGGAAACTACGCTGCTCTAGCACTTGTTCATTTTCCACTCAGTTTCTATTTCGTTTCGTTTATTTTACGGAGTGCGAGAGTAAAATGTCAGATTGTTATGGTCTCTGAATTTATTAAGTAACCATTCATAAGAGCAGGTTCACCTTCACAAGAGGTCTGAATACCATTCCAAGACCCATCGGATAGACAACGCCTGACTGATGACCCATTCAAAATAAATCCTTCATCGCAGCTAAAGGTAACTTCGTTCGGGAAGGTCGTTTCACTCCCAGTCAAGGAACCGTTTAGTGGAATAGACAGTATACCGCAATCTTTAGCTGTAGAAAAAAAATTGCAATTAGCTGTGACAAATTAAGATAGTTCTGCTGCACTTTTTTTTGTATTCAGATAACTAAGGAGCTGAAAGTCTTCAGTAGAAATATAGTTTGTGCCAATTTCACCCAGATCATCTAAACATTTACGAAAAAAATTATTGGCTTCAACATACTCTACTCTCAAGAGGACATTAATCTCTAACTATCCGCGTTATGATTTTAATCTAATAACCTGTTCATAATTAAAAGTTCTCTCAAAGTGTCCCTCATAAATAATTCTACCTTCACAAAAACTTGAAGTTCTGCTCCATGTTCCATTTGCCTGGCATTTAATTTTAGGGGAACCACGAAGGATGAATCCTTCATCACACTGATGAGTAACAAAATTTGGGTACACGGTATTTTCTCCAATGATACTTCCATTCTGTAACGGGTGGGGCTGACCACAGTCGACAGCTGAAAGAAATATGATGCAAAACAAGCGACAAAGCATATAAAATCACAAACACCTCACAAATCAGTGCCATTGTATATAAAGGGATCAAATTCTACCTAGTAAGGATGGATGCATTATGTAAAAATTACCGTTCAATTGCCAGAAATGTAAAAAATAAATGATAGCATTTAATTAATCGTTCGTCCGCCTTCCCGTTCGAACTGATTCTGAGGAAATAAGTATATTTAGTACGTGTCAAAAATGATGAGATCGACAAGAAAAAATGAACTATGAACGCGCACACGCAAAACCGGAGACATTACAGAATGTGTATCGATATGAAGCTAGCTGCGGGGGAATACATGTACTTACCATAGATGTACAATACTCCTCGGGAACACGTAAGCGCAGTCAAAGAAGTTGTGCTAAGGACAAGATTTATTTGAGACAGTAGGAACGTCTTGTATAAAATAAAGTGACATTTGGAGTTAAGTACCAATGACGAACACAAACATCTAAACATGAAGTTCTTTTGTGTTTGAATGCGTTTCCACAGCAAAAACCTACCACTACATACGGCTTGAATTCCGCTCCATGTTCCATTGCCCCGACACGTCCTCGTTTTGGAACCATTTAGAATGAATCCAGGATCACAGCTGAATACCACATTATTGGGGAACACCGTGGAGTCACCAGAAGAGAAGCCATTCATGGGAACAGATAAAGGACCACAGTCAACAGCTGGGCAATCAAATAAATTTACAAAAAATATCTTGTAGTCAGTAGAACGGAATAAAGTTTGTAGTTAGTATGAGAGTTGATATGTCTGCGGCTAGGACCTCATATGTAAAGGCCAAACGAGAGGATAGCGTTAAATATTGTACGAAGCAGCACTCGTTTTATGGTCTACATATATAGAAGTTCGTTCATGAAACAAGTGCTCAGAAAACGGACATAACAACACGTACCTCTTTTCTTATGCAGATTGCTACTTTAAAAATAACCAACTTCATTTGCATGGATAGACCCTGGATAAGACTTAAATCCGAAAAGTATCGTATGTAACCCACATGCCTTTTTATTTTCTTCAAGTTTTTGCTTCAAACATACCCCTACATAGGTTTGGCAGTCCACTCCACGTTCCATTAGGCCGACACGTTCTCATGGTGGATCCACTGAGAATGAATCCATGGTCACAGTTAAACACAACATTATTGGGGAACACCGTGGAGTCACCAGAAGAGGAGCCATTAATAGGAACAGGTAAAGGACCACAGTCGACAGCTACAAACATATTCATAAAAAGAAAAGACTTAGAAGAATAGTATTTTTCTATTTATCTGGTTAACTATTTACAAGCGCCTGTCATATATCGCAACAGATATGGCCGACAGATATCTCGAAGCAACCATGAAACCGAAGTCGCACTTTTTTTATCTGCGAATGAAAATAAATTTCTTCACTTCTGCGCTTTGCAAGCGAACATATCCAACTGCATGTCAGTGTATAAAATGGAAACATCGTGAACCTTTGCAAAATGTCTGATTTCCACTCCAGTTCCCATTTGCTTGACAATGCCTGACGTCAGATCCCCTCAGAAGAAATCCTTCATCACAACTAAAGAGCATCCTGTTTGGAAAGACTGTCAGATCACCAGTAGAGGAGCCATTTGTTGGGACTGCCAGGGGACCACAATCTTTCGCTGAACAGAAATTAAAACAATGTGGGTTAAAAGTGAAATGGTGTCTTGCCGGATAGTGAAAATATGTCGACAAAAAAAAAAAAACATGTTGTTCCCGTGAAGGATAATCAATTCCGTAAAACGCGGGACGACGGCAAATTCAATCTAACGAGAAACGCCTATATTGCAAGGTTCTACAAGACCTCTGGCCTTTTGCCAACAACATACCAACACATCTGACCGCCAAGCCACTCCAAGTTCCATTTGCCTGGCAAATCCTCGTTGATGATCCATTGAGGTGAAATCCAGGATCGCATTTAAATAGCATACTATTTGGGAAAACCGTGGAGTCACCATACGATGAGCCATTTATGGGAACTGACAAAGGGCCACAATCGACAGCTACAAGAGAATAAATAGAAACGGTATGGTACATTTAAACAAGACAGTATGAAACAAGAAACAAAAAATTGTAATTTCTGTTATGGAAATTTAGCATTTCTTGAGGTCATGTTGCGTTCAAATGTGGCGCGGTTGCTATCGTGGAAGAAAAGGGAAACAACCAATTCTTTTTTTTTTTATAATGCAGGCGGGAAGTTTGGAGAGCACGACAGAAGCGAAAGACGCGGCAGCCGAGATCAACTCTAGCTTATCGAGTGCTCTCCAAACTTCCCGCGTGCATCATTACTCGAGGATGTAGAGCTTAAGAATGAATCAATTGTTTTTTAACACTGCCACTGGAAAAAAATTTCTCTAGCGAAGCGATGTTTGCTTTGCTCTCGTCACAAGCGTGCCTCGTTGGCTTTTGATGCACGCTTTCGTTATTTATATAGCGCTTTATGCTTTACTATTTTTGTATACCGAGCTTGATAGTGCGGCTGTGCTGGCTATGTTATCTCACCATGACACGATGTACGAATACCACTCCATGTGCCATCCGATTGACAACGCCTCACAGTCGATCCGTTCAAAATGAATCCCTCGTCGCAACTAAAAATAGCTTCATTAGGGAAGGTTGTTTCACGTCCATTAATAGAACCGTTCACAGGCACGGCAAGGGTACCGCAATCTTTGGCTGCAAGAAAGCCAAGAGCGTATCTTTTATCTTTATGTTCAATAGTGTTAACCAGATGCAAAAATGCTAAATTCGTTTGACTCAAATGGAAAGAACGTACCCATCATCTTTAGAAACTCTCAGATATACAAAAGCTTTTCGAATATTGCCATATTACTTCGCTACAGACTTATTGTGACTATACCCTACTATAAATCTTTTTCCTGAACGAGCGGCCTACAACGTAAGTCAGTTTCCATCTGACATACTTTTCTACGTCTTTTTTGTTGCTTTAGTATTATGTACAAATTAAATAGGAATTAACTGTCATATGTAATTGTCATATGTATACCTTCACAAAAGCTGGTGGTCGTACTCCATATTCCATTTGTCTGGCATTTTATCTTTGAGGGACCACGCAGGACGAATCCATCATCACATCTGTGATACACAAAGTTTGGATACTCTGTTTGTTCCCCGATGATACTTCCATTCTGTAATGGCTTGGGCTTACCACAGTCAATAGCTAAATAGGAATGGCGCGCAGAAAACATACAGAGTGAAATGTTACGCAAGTTTTATTATATTCAACTTCGATAAAACTAAACTTAACAGAGCGTATTTCAAATATTTACGTTGGATGGTGATCGCCCGTCCGTCCGCCTCAAGGCGCTTTCGCAAAGACAAATACTACAAAAATGGCTGCACTTACTCAGTGAACTAATATGTGCACGTCAGGCAAAATAGGCGATAACAAATTAGATTCAGTGAAAGAAAACAAAGTCTATTGGAATAAAACGAAACAGCGGCGCACATGTATTTTGCGGTATAGCACTGGCCTTAGGTGTTCAGCTACCAGAAGCAAACGTATTACAAACCCGGTTACGCGATAACAATATGTGAAGAACAGCAGCAAATCAGAGGTAGCAATTCGACAGCTACGATGATCACCTATCGGATGTGACATTAAGAAGAGCGTGCAGCAAAACGAAAGTTGCTGTAGCTTTCGTGATTGAAGTGTTCAAGTATGACGCCTGGCGGTTGAGTGCATTTTCACCCATGTTTGCTTTTAACATACCAGTACATAACGTTTGAAATCCACTCCATGTTCCGTTAGCCTGGCACGTCCTTATTACTGATCCATGAACAATGAATCCGGGGTCACAGTTAAATTGCACATTATTTGGGAACACTGTAATGTTACCAGAAGAGGAGCCGTTCATGGGAACAGATAAAGGACCGCAATCGACAGCTAGAAAAAAGTGGTTAAAATCAGGACGAACTGGATTTGATTGGATGCAAGATTGTGTTCGGTGATTACCGTAATTCACCGAGCCCATGATTGATCTGACGGCATCCGAATACAATGAAATGATTATAATTATAAAATCAAACCCACATTTCAAACAATTATACAAGGCACTTCATGACTGTTAACATGTACATTAAATCGTTTCACATATACTGCAAAGGAAAAAAGTTTTCACTTTTCTTTCATCTCAAAAGAATAAAAATGTAGAAAAACAAAACTTTTTCTGGAGAAAGCTGATAGCTATTCGTTTTTACTATTGTTACTATCTTTATTTTTTGCCTGAGACATACCACTACACAAGGTTGGAAAACCGCTCCATGATCCATTAGGCTGGCACGTTCTTATGGTGGATCCATTGAGAATGAATCCAGGATCACATTTAAATAACACATTATTGGGGAACACTGTTGAGTCACCAGAAGAAGAACCGTTTATGGGAACGGACAAAGGACCACAGTCGACAGCTAGAAATAAGTTTTCAAGAAACGAAGAAGTTCATAATTGTGAAGTTCTACATCTCTCTACTGGTATAATTCGATTTAGTAATAAGTGCAAATACCATCTCCCATCTAAACCGATTTCAATCTTGAACCATCCTAGGTTCATAGAGATATATACTGAAGAGATCAACTGACCTGCAGCGAAAGAGAAGTATAAAAGCGACATTAAATTACCTTGGCAAAATGTCTCAGTCCCACTCCAAGTTCCATTTTCTCGACAATGCCGGATATGAGAACCTCTCAGATGAAATCCCTCATCGCAACGAAAGAGTATCTTGTTTGGAAAGGTTGTAAGTTTACCCGTAGAGGAACCATTGGTGGGGACTGCCAAGGAGCCACAATCGTTTGCTGGATAAAGATGAAGATACTAATGTTAATAGTAAAACATTGTTGTAGCACAAAAAGTGATATAATGCATCCTGTCTTTAATGGTATTATTCGTGTAGGTTTCGCAGTTGTTTACAGTACCAGTACGACGCATGGTTAAATTTGCGTTTTTTGGCAATTGTTATGTTACCAGTGCAGCAGGCAAACCTTAGCCTCTATGAAGAAACTGAAACCACGTTTGTGAAGGAAGGTATATTTGAAGCCTACCGGTACACATAGTTGCAAACCCACTCCATGTTCCATTAGGCTGACACGTTCTCTTGGACGATCCACTCAGAATAAACCCAGGATCGCAGTTGAACAGCATACTGTTGGGAAACGCTGTGTTGTTACCAGAGGCCGAGCCGTTTGCAGGAACAGACAAAGGACCACAGTCGACAGCTGGATAAAAACATTCAGTAAGTACTTGGACAAGGGCTGAATACAGCTACCATACTCTGTGAGTCACTCTAAGAACAGTTTGTAAAATAGGGCAACATGTTTTCGAGAATTCCCATTAACAGTAGCGTTGTTGTATGTGGGATCCGTTCTTTGGAGTAACTGCCTGTTGTTCTCAATATTTTCTTCGTGTAAGAGTTACTAAGGGATATAGCACAGGTAGCCACTTTCTCTCTTTTTGAACTTTTATGAGTTTGAACTTTTGTTTTTACTAAGAAAACGAATTGTGCTGAAAAGTGTTAGGGCCTGCAGAAATAACCTAAGAAGCAAGTGGGTTATTAGAGTTTGGATAAGATTCCATCTTCCCTGATATGGAAAGCGATCTTACCTTTACACGAGGTCTCAATACCACTCCAAGACCCATCGGCTTGACATCGCCTGACTGTAGACCCATTTAAAAGGAAACCTTCATCGCAGCTGAATGTCACTGTATTTGGGAAGGTTGTCTTCCGTCCAGCGATAGAACCGTTCAGAGGTACAGCAAGAGCACCACAATCCTTAGCTGTAGAAAATTTAATGACGTCAAAGCTCAATATCGACAACAGAATTGTCTAAACTTCCTATGCAGTAGACTGCTAAGACGAAAAAAGGAGGTTTAGATAACATTAGAATAATTACCACTGTCGTGCCAGGTTTGCACATTCTTGCCGATTAAACTTGTGATATAATCACCATTAATAGATAACTAGCTGTAGATGCGATAGGCATGTCTTGTGGCACGGCTAAGAAGAGGGTTGAGAACAGATTGAGCTGGGGAACTACAGTAGAAGCCTTATGTCCTCCTGGGGACGAAGAGGGATAAATAAAAGAAAATTAACGAATATTAACCTTCACAAAAGCTTAAAGTCTTGCTCCAAGTTCCATTTGCTTGGCATTTTATCTTTGAAGGGCCACGAAGGACGAATCCGTCATCGCAACTATATTTTACAAAATTTGGATAAACTGTCTCTTTTCCTATGACACTTCCATTTTGTATAGGTTGAGGACGACCACAGTCAACAACTGAAAAGCAATATCGTTAAAAAAGGCACATAACAAGTGGAAAGAACAATGGCAGTTTTCATGGCTACCTTCAACCACTCTCGACAGAAGAATATAGACACCAAATTTAAGACGTAATGGACCTGAAATGATGAAGTGATGTACTCGTCGTCCGTCCGCCCATTCGATTATTGAGCCCTGAAAGTACCACGGAAGAATGAATACTTTTCGAATGCTTAAGTATGCGAGGAACACATGAGTTGATGAAGAACTTCAACGGTAGAAGACATGACATTGATTCAGCGAGATTGTAACGTAACGATCGCATTAACTGCTCTGGCATTAGCGGTTACGAAGAATAAGAGTTGAAAATGGATATCGAATGGAGATGACTGAATCGAAGTTGTTCAACTGAAAGACATTTATCTCCCACGCTGCGAGTTATATGCGTAAAGGAGCGGTTTCAGTGAACTAATAAGAAACCTGGCATAACAGCAGCATGTTCAATTTAAGTAACAAGAAACCCAGACCCATTTGAATGTTTGGTGAAGCTTTCTTCAGACCTACCACTGCACACGGTTAGAAAACCACTCCATGTTCCATTAGGTTGGCATGTTCTTATGGTGGATCCATTGAGAATGAATCCAGGATCACAATTAAATAGCACCCTATTGGGGAACACCGTGGAGTTACCAGAGAAGGAACCGTTCATGGGAGCAGATAAAGGACCACAGTCGACAGCTAGGAAAAAAGTAAATTCAACGGAATAAATTACCATATTCTTAAACATATAAAAATATTTCCAATGATCACGTTTTCGTCATTGATGGAAGATAAGTATGTTGAAGGAACTCAGATTTCATACTTATGCTGCTTCAATTAATGATCAGTTTTTATTAGAAACTCCACAGAAAGTAAGACGATTACGTTAAAAGCACATGATAACGTAAAATCGACTGCTGAAGGATGAAGGTTTGCATTACCGAGTTAAAAACTGAAGTCAAATATTTCTGACAAAAAAATAAATGTACTAATGGTAATAGTTTTTGACGACAAATAACAACAACGAGAAATTTTACAAAAAAACTTTCAAGTGATCGTTTTGAATGAAACGAAAACTTTAAAAAAACCTACCTTCACAGAATGTCTGATTTCCACTCCATGTTCCGTTAGCCTGACAATTTCTTACATTAGACCCCCTGAGAAGAAACCCTTCATCACAGCCAAATACTTTCTTGTTTGGAAATACGGTCAGATCTCCATTAGAAGACCCGTTTGCTGGGACTGCCAGGGAACCACAATCTTGTGCTGCATAAAGTAACATCGATGTTTTTTCAAATTATAAACAACACTTCTTTCTAAGTAAAGGATCCAATCTCACAATAGTGAAAAATAATAACAACAACAACAACAGCAACAACAACAATTTTTTGTGTGTTCTTTAGATTTGCATACAGCTGAATAACAAAATAAGTGTCACAATCAAAAATTAAAGGAAGGAAGGTTAATCAAACCTTGGCATTTTGTTTCATTGCCACTCCATGTACCATTTGTTTGACATTTCCTTAGCCAGGAGCCACTCAAGATGAAACCTTCATCACAACTGAACTTCAAGGAATTCGGGTATGTAGTTTCTTTACCAACCATGGAACCATTTCGAGGAGCAAGTAGCTTTCCACAATCAATAGCTTTAACAAGAATATCATACTCAGTGAGTAACATGTATTCATTTTTTTCTGAGCATTGGACTTCAGTGAAATCCATGACCTTTGGCATACGTTTGGACGCTCTAACTTGCCAACAATAGGGAGACTAGACTAGAGACAAGCTAGGCCATTTACTGTTAGGATCATTAATTAATTCATATTAATAAAAATATGGGATAAAGTTAAGATCGGTTACACTGTTGCACCATTACTGCTTAACCACTTCAAAAACGACAACTTAAAAGACAGTCTTACCTTCACAAAACGTTTCGGAGCCATCCCAGGTTCCGTTAGATCGGCACGTTCTAATCGAGGAGCCATAAATAACAAATCCTGGATCGCACCACAATCGAACAGTGTTGGGGTACACCGTCTGATTACCAGACAATGACCCATTTAAGGGTGACTGAAGACGACCACAGTCTACGGCTAAAATAATATCCAAGGCAAGATAAAATATATAAGAACTTAATTTGCAATCTGCTTTGAACAACTCATTCAGCGCAGCTGGGGTGTGACAACTAACGTAGTCCTACCTATTCTGGGCGATACAAGTGGAATTTGTTTGCACGAGTGTAACTCTAGTTTTACTCTCACCTTTGCAAGTAGTCCCATTTCCAGTCCATAGTCCATTAGCCTGGCATTGCCTAGTTTCAGACCCCTTTAAAATGAATCCTTCATCGCACTGAAACAATACTTTATTCGGAAAAACAGATAGATTTCCAATAGCAGAACCATTGACAGGGGCACGCAGGGGACCACAATCCTTTCCTGGAAAAAATCGAAAGCAATCAAACGAAAGGTTATCTTCGTAATGAAGCAACACTCATGCACTCAATCTTCTTCCTGCTCCTGGGCGCATAACACCTTATAATGTTGCTATTTAGAAACCTCATGGCTACCTGAGGCTCCCTTCTCAGACAATGGTGATGTTCTCTACAACTCGAGCTATGAAGGCTTGTTGGTATGGTCTCGTGGTGTTCATAATGACACTTGGCTCAGCTTAGCTTAAAAACGACAGTGCAAAAGTTAATCACTCCGCTCATTGGGAAAAGATTATGCAAAGCCGCCATACATGAGATGCTACCGAGTTCTTTATAACGTAAGAAGGACAGCAACATAAATGTTTACCCAATAATTATATTATTTAAGTCATCACTTTTAAAACGAATTCATTAGCCCTCCACGTCGATATAGAAAGCCTGCGGCTTAGAAACAATTCATAAAGAAACGAATTGACGACGGCAAAACCTCGAGCTGTTGTTCTGCTTAAAGAACAATGAAAATGTACCTTCACAAAATGTGTCATAGCCACTCCAATGTTTGTTAGGTTGGCACCGTCTCTCTGCGGATCCTCTCAGAGTAAAACCATCGTCGCATCGAAAGATTACTTTGTTGGGGTATGTTGTTAAGTTCCCAGATAGTGTGCCATTCAGTGGGACTGATAAAGTGCCGCAGTCGTTTGCTAAATCAGAAATAAAGTAGAAAGCACAGATCGGAAGATTATAAAATAGAGATACTAACTGTTTTGATAAAAACTGAGTACAGAAAATGCTTTACTTAACAAACAAATGGACTGCTTTTGCCCTTCTGTTGCTCAAACAGTTATATTAAGTTTTTGTTAAACAAGAGTTCTGGGGTGCTTACCATTTACAAAAACCATCCGGTTGGAAATTTCAGGCATAAGTATTAAACAATTAAATGCGACTTTGTGTGAGAGGGAATCGCTATAAAGTATATCCACATCAGCTAGAGAGACCTAAAAGAGCAGAAAAATAGCATCATCTCAAATCACAGCCCATATTTTCTTAAGCTTCCCAAACGGAAAGTCGCGAACCATTTGATTTTCTAACTGGAATTTCCGGTTTTCCCATGTAAATGGTAAGTACCCCTGGTTAACGCTCTTTTCACCTTGACAGAGGGCGTTGGTTCCACTCCACGTTCCATTCGCCTGACACTTTCTATCGCTGGATCCAAACAGTGAAAACCCCACATCGCAGGTAAATCGCAGCGTGTGGGGATATGTGGTATTTCTACCGAAGACGCTTCCGTTTTGCGGCGCTTGCAGCTTCCCACAGTCGATAGCTGGGAGAAACAACAGAACGGTTAACTCTGACTTATTTTTGTGCAGTTTTTGTCTGTATACCGTCCGTCTGCCTGTCATTCTGCAAATCATTACGAGTCAGCAGATAATATGAATGACTTGGAAAAACTGCCACAATTTAGTATTTTGGAAGGTCGATAACCAAGATTATTTGCGCAAGAATTTTTGCGGTAGAGTGAGATCAGTACTACCAGGTTCTTTTTTATCTCACCATATGACTAACATTTTACGTTTTTCGCTTTACTTTGAAAGACAAGGCCTACCAATACAGGGTCAACGTTAAAGTGGTCCTTTGGGTGCGCCTCTGATATATCTCTGTCATGTGATCACCCAAAAATTCGATTTCAAAGATCGAAGATCTCATCTGTAGAAACGTGTTTGAACAAGGTTGTGTCACTTTGTTGTTAGAGGAGATGACGTCTGCATGATCATTAAGCCAGCTTTGCAAATAAAACAATGCAATGTTTTGCGAACAACAAGGACGCGTACAAACAATGAGTACCTGAATTTCCCAAAACAAAGTGCCATGGTTTTGAATGCACAGGAAACGAACAACTTACAGAAGCTATGAATCTTCCTGAATGTAACATCTTACCGCTGCACAAGGTCGTCAATCCACTCCATGTGCCATTTGCCTGGCACGTACGGATTGACGAACCACTGAGAATAAATCCTGGATCACATTGAAACTGTATGCTATTAGGAAATACCGTCGAGGTGCCCGATAAAGAACCATTCTTGGGAATGACCAACGGACCACAATTAACAGCTGCAAAAGAAAAGGTAAACATTGTTAGGTAGAAGATAAACAGCAAGTGGGTTAGCGACGATTTTGAATACTGTTTTTTTCGTTGTCAAAATCTATGGAAATTTAAAATTACAGAATAGAAGCAGCGTTGTTTGGTCAGTGGATTTGCTGTAAAGAGCCATTATGCAGTTGACAGCAAGTTTTATTACGCTATCGTGAGATTTCAAGCAGGGCTATTTCAGAGGGATGTTCAATTTGTACAAAGTTGCCTACTTACCATCACAATAAGTGACTTCGCCAGTCCATGTCTTATTAGCTTGACAATGCCTGACCTTGGATCCTTTTAGAATAAACCCTTCATCGCAACTAAAGGTGACAAAGTTAGGAAAGGTTGTCTTATTCCCGAGCAAGGATCCGTTTTGAGGAATGTGAAGCTTTCCACAGTCGTTAGCTGAAACACAAAAAGCCCATAGGTCATTACTGCAAGCCTCCGCAAGTAACATTGCTCTCATACTAACAATCAGTCAATACCACTTCAACAGTGCAATATGTGGTTAAATGGATGAAATTACCACGCACCTCAAATATTTGGAATAACAACGAACAACGTTGGTACCTTGGCAAACAGGATCAACACCACTCCATGTTCCATTTGTTCGGCATTTTCTCGCAGTTGAGCCAAGGAGTGTGAATCCTTCGTCACATTTGAACCTTAAAATGTTGGGATAAGTTGTCCGTTCACCGTGCACCGTTCCGTTTCTTGGTGAAGGAGGATGTCCACAATCAATAGCTGAAAATAATTGTTTTGACAGATTGTTTAAAAGGTATTATAGACTATTGTCTAAGAACTCCTATTGAATATGAAATTTGGTGCCAACCTGTACACGTGGTATTGTATCCACTCCAATTTCCATTGGCTTGACAAGTTCTCTTGGACGACCCTCCCAAAAGAAATCCAGGGTCACATGCGAAGCGCTTTGTGTTTGGAAACACTGTCAGATCACCAGATGATGACCCATTCAATGGCACACCCAAGAACCCACAGTCAATCGCTTTAAGAAAAGAACAACAAATGTCAGAAGTTTAATGTTCTTGATTGGAGAAAATGTACTTGGAATGTATTTTTGTAACGTATATCCTCATAGGGATTCACGCTTTCTCTCACCTTTGCAAGAAGTGTCAAGTCCACTCCAGGTTCTGTTTGCCTGGCACTGTCTGATCACTGAGCCAATCAGAATAAAACCTTTGTCACAGCTGAAGATCATCTTGTTTGGATAGGTTGTCTCATTTCCAAAGGAAGAACCGTTCTTGGGTACCGCCAAGGGACCACAGTCATTCGCTAATCATAGGATGACAGAAAATAATATAACCTTTTTCAACCAACAATGCATCGACTGATCTTAGTTTGTAGACCACAGACAATGTTAAGTCTAAAACGATAACCACAGATTCACGAATAACCACAGGTTCTTTCAACCAGACAAGATCACTTAACCCTTAATCAGAGAGTTTTCAAAGGGTAACTGCACTTGTACAGAATTCATTTTTTGTAAATATTGTTCCTTCCCCATCACCAGCTTAAACGTAAACCGTTTTTATACGTTTTTATATACATTCGCTTTGTATGTGCAATAAATGTAGTCAGTGGCGTTTGTCCTTTAAATTGTCCAAGCAATATTCACGTTAAGTAGATCTTGAATACCTTGGCAACTAGTTTCATTTCCACTCCAACTCCCGTTCGGTTGGCATCTTCTCTCGGTAGGACCGTGTTGCGTAAATCCTTCATCACATAAAAACTTTAAAACATTCGGAAACGTAGTTTTTTCACCAACAAGTGTACCATTCACTGGAACTGGAAGACTTCCACAATCAACCGCTAAGGAAAACAGGTACAAATTTGTTACTTTATACAGTTTAGCTCATGGAATACAAATTTCAAATTAAAAATTGATATATGCAATCCACATTAGAAAGATATAAGAAGAGGTGAACTTTTCCACGGTCGACCAGATATAAAATAGACTATTAGACTACAGACCCTTACCATTGCAAATGGTATATATTCCACTCCATGTGCCGTTTGCTTGGCAGTTTCGAACACGCGAACCGCTCAAAATAAACCCAGTATCGCAGGAAAATCGTATGCTTTCGGGAAATACTGTAAGATCGCCATATGATGACCCATTCAAAGGAACACTTTGGCGTCCGCAATCAACAGCTACAAGAAAGTAATTAAATGGAAACAAAATGAAATTTAATGAGCAGAATCATCATCAAAATAGTATTGTATTCCCAGCATGAAACGGGACACCTAGTGGTTGTCATACCTTCGCAAGACGTTACGTTCCCGCTCCATGTTCCATCTGCTTGACATCTTCGTTTTTCTGGTCCTTTCATTATAAACCCTTCATCGCAACTAAAATTGACTTCGTTAGGAAACGTGGTTCGACCTCCGGACATTGAGCCATTCTTTGGAGTCAATAGTGGTCCGCAATCTTTAGCTAGGATAGCAAAAAAGACATTGTTGCGGTTTCTTTTCACGAATTGTCACTAACCTCCACTGGTGCATCAGATGCATCACTAAAGAAGCTTTACACTTCGCCATGTATAACGTGCACAGCGCTTAGTACTACTATATCTATTAGTATAAAGCATAAAATACATAAAAAATAATGTCTTCACATACCTTCACATGTTGTCTCCTGACCACTCCACGTCTTTTTTGCCATACAACTTCTGACGGTCGATCCTCTGAGTATGAACCCGTCATCACAGTGGAAACGCAGTTTGTTTGGAAAAGTTGTGTAATCTCCAAGTACAGAACCATTTCTTGGAGCTTGTACCTTTCCACAGTCAACAGCTAAAGGGAAAAGTTAAAATAACAGATATTGAAGACGTTCCATCAATTCAAACGGTAAGTTGATTTAGTTGAAAATCAGTTCATTTGAAACTAGTAAGCATTCGTACCCGCCTTAGCTAGTTCTGAAGACGTTTTTGCACATCTAGCCTTTGGAAGAGTAGTCAGCGAAAATTAACAAGTCTTTATGTTCAGGTAAAATTACCGAACACGATGTCAACATGACCCGAAAGCCGTCAAAGAGTTTTGACGACAAACTCATGTTCTGTATCAATCCGTCCGTCTGACCGTCTAAACGCAAAGACACGGTAGAATATGTAAAGTGAAAAACACTTTCGAGAAAAATTACCAGGCTACGAATAGTGATTTGTGACTGATGTGTTTTCGTAACAGAGCGATAGGTAACAACCAACAAATACAGTGAAGCTATATTTTTACGATAACTGCAGAAATTCCCGCGCGTTCATTGGTTCAATGTCAATAAGCGGACAGACAAATGAATTTGTAATTTATGCGATGCGTCAACGAGCGAGAGCGGACAATTTGACAATTCGGTATCCTAGAAAACAAATTGACGTCAGTTTTTCATGCGTCTGTCCTGTTATTGACAATGAATTTCGTCATAACGTGGTCAAAGTAGTCTGCAGATGCACTCGGCTATCGCCTCGTGGATCCACAGCTACTTCGACAATGTTATGACGAAATTCATCCACAATAACAGGACAGACGCATGATAAAATGACGTCAATTTGTTAAATTGAACATAAGCATAACTTAATAGACCAATTTCGATATATTAAAGTTCACCCTAACACAATAGACCTGAGCACGAGGCTCTGGGGAATACACCCCACAAACTCTGTAGTTATTCGCCAAAGCCTCGTACTGAGATCTATTGTTTTAGGTTGAATTTTAATATATCGAGATTGGTCTATTACCAAATAATTGCAAATATTGCTATCTTTGTCCTCCTCTGTTCCTACTTTGTTGCGTAAAATGTTGCACTTTATGTTCGGACGACGACGACGATGATAATAATAGAAATTATGGCGGAAATGGTTATAATAATGATGATAACGAAGATGTTCATGTATGACACACCTTAGTGCAGTTCTGACCCTCTCTCTGTCACGCAACTCCACGCTTTAAGGGAGCTCCCAATAGCGTAGAGTTACGTGACGCAGAGAAGGCTAAAACTGGACTAGACACACCTTTACAAGCAGTGTCATTTCCACTCCAAGATCCGTTTGCCAGGCAAACTCTTACAGATGATCCTTTGAGAACGAATCCTTCATCGCATTGGAAATATACCTTGTTTGGATATGTGGTGAGTTCCCCGTAAGAGGTAACATTCATTGGCATCACTAGAGGACCACATTGAACAGCTGGAAAAATAGGGAAAAAAGCGGTGTTAATGTTTCAAACCAGAAGCCTCCATTAAAATACCACTTGAATCATGCACTAGTCAAGTGTCGAGTAAGACATTTAACTTGACTAGTAAATGCCATTTATATATATCAAAAAAATACCCTTTGTACTATAACAATTTTGCTAAGAAAAAACTGTTTGACCATCTACCACTTACAATGGCTCACGTTAGCTGTTTGGTCTATCACTCTTCTTACAGTGTAAGAAGCTGTGACATATGGCTAGCTCCACGAGGGGGCAAGATGGACCAAACACTGCTCTTGATTGGCTATCCGAACAGGCAAGATGGAGCTAAATGTATCTTGCGCGCTCGGGATTGCCCTCTGTATCCCGCAAGAAAACAACGTCCTTCAGGTGTCTTAGGTCTATTTTTTTACGAGTTTATGGAACAACAAACAACTTGGCCAACATCTAACCATCTTTTAGCCTTTCTCTTACCCTTTTTTAAATAAGATTATCTATCCAGTAGACCTTTTTGACACTGTTATTAAATAACGCTTCCAATAGAATGAATGTCGGTTCGATTTCCTCACTCCAGCCCCTCCAAAATAAATATACTTCTACTTTGCATACCAGACGATATTTTTGTGCAACCAGTCTATTTCTATTCATATGAATTTCATTATGACAACACTGGGAATCTTGTAAAGTAGTATTTACTTGTAACACGAAAGTACGCATTCAACATATGAATTACCTTTACAGGATGTTTCGTTGCCACTCCATCTACCATTTGACTGACATTTTCTTGTTCGTGAGCCAATCATAACGAAGCCAATATCACAGGTAAACGATATGCTATTTGGAAAGGTTGTTTCGCGACCGTTGGAAGAACCATTCATTGGAACTGACAGGGGGCCGCAGTCTTTAGCTAAAATACAAGCATGTACAAATTCCAGAATGTCAATGTCAAATGTCAGAATGTGTTGATCTCTCTTATTTAGATTTATTTACCAAAATAAATCATACAAATTGACTCATAAACGCTCGGGGTCGAGTGCTTATTTTAAGTTTTAAGCTTCACTTTGGGTTGCTTGAACTAATACTCGACATGCAGGAAATTTTTTTTTACATCAATGAACTGGTAACTATCTTCATTTTCAAGGAAGCAGTATGTTATTTCTATGAGATCCTGTCTCAGTGGGAAACAATTATATTCGATGCGCTTTACGTTCCCTTCTCACCCCTTCGGTAGTGGCCACCGCCCTTTCACGAGACTATTATTACTTCCGTTACGTTGCCTTGCAGTACACACCTCAGAAATCCTACATCTCGCCCTTTCTGTTCTTGGCTCGCGTTGATGCCCCTTCTGTGCCCTACAGCCATATTTTAATGGTGTTCACAACTCTACTGATAAGCCATTGTAGATTTCTATTTACACACCCAGAGTAAAGAAAATGACGATGAAAGGAAACAAAGAATAGGAGGAAATTTACAGAAATAAAAATCATAGCTACGAGGTCTGCAAAATTCCAAAAAAAATTACCAATGCAGGAAGTTTGATTTCCACTCCAGATTCCAGTCGATTGGCAATATCTGACCCTAGAGCCGGCCAAGTTAAACCCATCATCGCAGCTAAATGTTATTTTATTGGGATAAGTGGTCTTGTGTCCAGTGGCAGAACTATTCGTTGGAACAGCGAGGATACCACAGTCTTTAGCTACAGCGATATCAGAACAGATGACAATGAGATGAGTACGTGTATTCAACAATTTTCCAATGGCGTTGAATGCTTTTTAATCTTGAAAATGAGAAAACGCGAGTCTGAACGCTTGTTTAGCCTAAATTAAAATTATCCTTATTTTATACAAGCTCAGAGCATGGTTTGGTTTTATATCGAGACCTGTTTTACGCTGTTGGATTGATATTACGTACGAGGAAGCAAGCATAAACATTAAGTCCTGTTAGGCTCTCTGGACGTATATGGGGCAGTAGCCATCTCTCTTTCTTTTTCTTTTTAGGCACGCAAAGCTGCTCCTTATTATTTACTATCTTTTAGGTGCACAAATTGTACTTTAGCAAGGTGCTAAGTCATTATTAATATAGAACATTTTTTTTCCTGGTATCAAATCACCACAATGCCTAACTGACTCAGATGGTGTGTGGCTATGGACCAGTTGCTCTGAATTTCATACCTTCACACGAAGCCGGAGTTCCGCTCCAAGCTCCTTCCGAGGTGCACCTCCGTAAACTTGATCCCTTGAGAATAAAGCCTTCATCACAATCGAAAGACACTTCATGGGGATACACCGTCAGATTGCCAAATATTGATCCGTTTGATGGTGCTTCAATAGGTCCACAGTCTCTGGCTACAACAAAGAGATGGAAAAATTATTTCCAGACACCCAAAACAAACAATTCTTTGGTACAGAAAATCAGACTAGGGGGTCGAAAGTGAGCAGAAGATCCATAATTCAAACGATTCAAGAAAGGTGCGGCTGAAGTAATTTGCAATAAAGCTGCGACACTGTTTCACGTGTCTTTAAAGGCAAAGCAAGAAGCCGAACTTGTCCCATAATCTGCTACTTGGGCAACAACAAAAATCTCATCTAACCTTGACAATAGGTCTCGCTGCCGCTCCACGTTGCATTAGCTTGACAATGTCTAACACGTGATCCTTTCAGTAGAAAGCCTTTTTCACAAGTAAACGTCAATGAGTTTGGAAACGTAGTCCGGTTGGGTCCGACTGAGGATCCATTCAAAGGAATCTTGACAATGCCGCAGTCTTTGGCTAAAGAATCAAAGTAGCAAAAAATGAGCAGTGTGAAATTACGACAATGAAGAAAAGATCAAACCCATTAGACAGGGTTTCCTCTCCCAAAGAGATTCCGTACCTTGACAAGACGTCTCCACGCCACTCCACTCTCCATCAGATTTACACTGTCGCACATCTGAACCTCTCAAATCGAACCCATCGTCACATGTAAACATGACCTTGCTTGGATACGTTGTTTGTTCACCACGTTTCGTGCCATTTAAAGGTACACTGATGGGTCCACAGTCTTCGGCTGATAGAAACAAAACGTAACTCTTCCGAGTTTTTATAGTTTTCCTAGCATATTACACCGCAGCCTTAGTTAGTTCCCTGCTGTTACCTAGAGGGATAGCGCTTCCTTTTCACGTAAACTGGTGCCGTAAATACTGCTATAATAATTCTTAATTATGGCAGGCGGAGCCGGCCTATTGTAATTATTAATGTGTTGGAGGCCAATTCTAGGGGTCCGTTGTTCGAGTCTTAGCTATTAGGTAAGTAAGTAAGCAAGTAAGACTTTATTTAAGGAGGGTAACACTTGACAGTAATAAAACTGATAAACTCGTGACCCTCTCCTGGTAGTGCCTTCTACGCAAAGCATTCCCCACTCTCCTCTCAGCTGCATAAGTGAACGGAGAACTGTTGGTGTAATATGCGAAATACACCCAAGGCGTAACACTAGAGACAGAGCAAAGAAGGTCCACCCATCCACTTCCAGTCGCTTTACGCTACGGAAACCGAACATCAAGTCATGAGTGTTTTGCTTTCAACTTGTCCTTAGAGACATGTTACCTTTACATCGCGTCTGCTGACCGCTCCATGTTCCATTGGTCAAACAGCTTCTCACTGTCGACCCGGATATGACAAATCCTTCGTCACAACTTAACTCTATAGAATTTGGATACGTCGTTTCCTCTCCAAATTTGGTCCCATTCTGCGGCGTGGGGACATAGCCACAGTCCACAACTAAAAAGAAAAAAAAAAAGGTTTCAATGATTTAAAAATGAGACTGTTAGAAATTATATCACTGAGATGCCCAGTTCCTCCTCATATTCAAGAAAAATTGATTTGAAATATCATTCAATAAATTCTTAAATGCTTAAAGGTATAAAAGTCAAAAAGGAATCATACAGGAAACTAAGATACCAGCAACAACAACGACAATGAATGGTAGCAGTAAGAGAAATCAAGGCAGGGATTGCAAATTTTCACATCAGTGAAAGGGATAGGAATTACCTGTGCAAGAAGTTTGATTTCCACTCCAAATCCCGGTCGACAGACATTTTCTTATTCTGGAGCCGGCCATGTTAAACCCATCATCACAGCGAAATGCTATTTCATTAGGAAACGTCGTGTCCAATCCAATGACGGAGCCATTCAACGGGACAGCAAGTGAACCACAATCTTTGGCTAAAGCGAGATAAGAGAGATCAATGTTCTTTTGAGCATGGTACGTTAAATCGACTGGATTATTTAACACCATTTACTATCTACCATTTGCTGTAAAGATAAATTTCTGTTGTAAATTAATAAAAGTAACAAGCATAAAAAAAATTAAAGTGTTTTTTTGTTTTCTTTTATACTTATCAAACTGGCTTATAATGATATGATGCTTTCAAAAGACTCAACAAGCGCAATGTCATCAAAACCACAACACGTTTTTCATGTCTGTTACCCTCTATAACCTAAAAATTATTTCAAAGTTGAAAGAAACTCTTTCTGCACCTTCACAAAAAGCTGGAGTTCCGTTCCAGGTCCCTTCCGACGTACAACTTCTTACTTTCGATCCCCTGAGGATGAACCCCCCGTCACATCCAAAGGACACGTCATGCGGATATGTCGTTAGATCACCAAGCATCGATCCATTGGCTGGGGCATGTAACGGTCCACAGTCCTTAGCTAAAGAGTGAATATGAATCGTTATTTCGATGGTTGTGCCCGTAAATAATTATACATCAAATTATAATGACGGTTAAAAAAGCGCGTTGGCCTCATGGATAGTGGATCCCAGGTTCGCAGCCCTGGCCGGGGACATTATAGTGTGTTCCCGAGCAAGACATTTTACTATCACAGTACCTCTCTCCATCCTGGTTTATAATTGGGTGTCAGCGACTTAGATGCCGGGGGTAACCCTGCGATGGACTAGCATCTCATCCAAAATTCTCGCTTGAACTATAAACCCACACTTGCGTACCACGTACCTTGACAGACGGTTTCATTGCCACTCCAAACTGCATTAGCTTCACAATGTCGCACCCGTGATCCCTTCAGTATAAACCCTGGGTCGCATGCAAATGTTAATGAATTCGGAAAAGTAGTCAGGTACAGTCCAACCAAAGATCCATTGACAGGCACTTGGAGAAAGCCGCAGTCTTTTGCTATTGGAAAAAGAATACATGACTCGAAACAGTTTTTGAGAACCAAAATATCACACCAAACCTTCTCTTCCTTTTAAAGCGTTTCATTACCTTCACAAAAGGTTTCTACTCCACTCCACTTTCCATCCGATTTACATTCTCTTACATCTGAACCTTTTAAATCAAACCCATCGTCGCACGTAAACGTCACAATGTTGGAATAAGTGGTACGGCTTCCATGTTTCGTGCCATTCAAAGGTGTCTCAATGGACCCACAATCTTTGGCTAATTTAAAAATAATATAAAAAATTAGAATAAGTAGAATATAATTGGCCTGTTAAAATTATGGTCTGTGTTTGGTGAATGGTCAATATAATTCTGATTTCACTGTTACAAGGAAAATAGCTAACAAATTAAAGTATGAAAGATGAAATGAAAGATGGTAAATTTGCAGCTCGGTGAATAAGTGATAAAGAAAGAAATGTTGCCAATAACCAATGACCTTCCGATACTGGCTGGGCACTCTAACCACGAGCTAGAGAGACTAAGCTCATATGTGACACGCGTCCTGCTAACTGCTAGAATCAGCAAATATGTGTGATAAATGAAAGATGGTAAATCTGCAGCTCGATGAATAAATGATAAAGAAGAAATGTTGCCACCAGCATGGGACAAAGAAAAAAGTCTGAGTCCCCGACAGGATTCGAACTCGTGCATAACCTCCCAGATATCGGTCGGGCCCTCTAACCACTGAGAACCTTGTAAAATGGCTTAGCTCGCCCAGAGTCTCTCTGCAGCCCAGTGTTTAGAGTGCCCAACCGGTATCTGAAAGATTATGGGTTCGAATCCTGTCGGGGACTCAGATGTTTTCTTTGTCCCATGCTTGTGGCAAGATTTCCTCTTTACTAAAGTAACACTAAATCCATTTGAAATCGTAGTTGCTGTCTACTCTTTCTAATGTGTCATGAGGGTCAATAAGTAAATTAAGAAAGGAGAAGACAGTAAAACGCGAAAATGAGAAACAACGATATTTTATGGACACAAAACTTTACATTACCTGAACAAGAGGTTTCATTACCGCTCCATATTCCATCTGAGAGACATTTTCTGATCCTGGAGCCAAATATGTTAAATCCATTATCGCAGTGAAAAGTTATTTCGTTGGGATAAGTTGTCTTTTGTCCAGTGGCAGAACCATTAGTGGGAATAGCAAGTTGACCACAATCTTTAGCTATGGGTAAACGAGAACATGTCTAAATGTGAAGGGTGTTGGTCGAGATTTGAACTTGTCGTTAACTTAACGATTTTTATACCTAATCGTACCTTGTTGGTACGCTTCGGAGGCATATCAGGAGAGTTTGGTCGCGCCATGGTCCAAAATACCCATGGCGAGACCAAATCAGCCTGATATGCTGCCGATTTTACCAAAAAGGATCGATTAGGTATTTACCGTGTCCAAATTCAGTCAGGTGAGCTTGATATCGTAGCCATGTCAGGTCAGGGACTTGATATCGCAGGATACCAGGACAGTTGACAAGGCGTCTGATTGGCTAATTGCGAATTTGGGTACGGTAATGTAAAAAATCTCTGATTGCAGCATGGGGTTTCGCGCGTGTTTATCGTTGGGCGTTGGTACGCAATTTATATTTGAAATTCCCCAAAAAATATACATATTTCTATTTCCATTTCGAGGAGAAGATAACCTTGGTCGTTGATTTTCGCAAATATCCCAACCTTTCCAAAACAATGTCACTACTACCTAACAATTTACAACACAAAACGGCAATATGAATATAAGAAATTTGATTTTCACCTCTGCAGGACGTTTCTTCTCCACTCCACCGTTTATTAGCCTGGCAGACTCGAGAAGAAGATCCCATCAAATCATGGCCATCGTCGCAGTAAAATATCACTTCATTTAAGAAAGTTGTCCTATCGCCAGTTTTGGTACCATTGTTTGGCGCCTGTAGTGGTCCACAATCAACGGCTTGGAGAAAAAAAAAAGGATTATAAATCTATTTATACGAAATGAAGACTTCCCAGAACATGAAAGACGTTTTAAAGGAGTCCCAGTTGCTTGTTTATAGTTTTTGTGAACAAATTTGACTTTTTCAGTTTAGATTACGGCAGTAACAATGAAACCGCTTGAAACTCAAGTAAAATATGCATAAAGAAAAGAAAACACAGCGGAGCAATTCTTTGAGAGCATTTCAGGCCCCGTCCACGCTACGTCGGAGGAAATTGAAAACGGAGGTTTTGCTCTGAAAACTCATCAAATGTTTCCCGTCCACACTACGGAATTTAAAAACGCAACAATCTCAGGTCATTTTGGATTTGTGTTTGAGTAAAACTCGGTCAGGGAAATCACATGCTTATCGTGACGCCATCGATTTCGAAAAGCTCCGCTTTCAAAATGTTTTCTGCCTTAGACTTTGAATGAGATCATAATGAGCGTAACCAACGCATTCCAAGTGAGAGAACTTAACTTTATGCTGAAAAGAAAGTGCAACTCAAAGAAGCTTTTGGGTTGAAAACTTTAGAAGGTATCTTGGTACTTACGTTTACAGCTGGTCTTATTTCCACTCCAGGTTCCGTCAGCTTGACATCTTCTTACAACAGCGCCTTGAATTTCGTATCCAGTATCGCAAGTGAACTTTATTGGATGCGGGTATCTTGTCGAGACTCCTGACACGGAACCATGATCTGGCAATGCTGGCTTGCCGCAGTTGATGGCTTGAAAAGGAGAGAACAAGCTTCAAAAGCAAGAGAATTCAACTCCAAAACATTGTCAACAAAGCATAACAGCACGAATGGTGGTTTACTGCAGGCACTATGGACAATATCCAATAATATTCCGTGTTTGAGTGCCTACTAAGTGTCAGTAAGCAGTCAGTCGAGCAAATTGAAATTCAGCAATGGAAGGTCGGCTGATTTTAATTCGTTTTAATGGCGAAGGTAAATTTGCGGCACATAGCAGTTTACAGGATCTAAAATACGAACGATGATAGGCGAAAATGATGAATGATAGACGAACTCATTATCAGTACCTTTACGCTTAGAGAGCAATTTACATTTTCATCAACTATTAGGGACATCATGTCACAGATTCCTGTCATTGGTACGACTTGAAAAGGAACGAACACAATATCATACGGGTGTGTAATTAAATAGATTGAAATTTTCGAACGATAGAAGATAGATGAAAAGACGGAAGAATGATACGACGGATGAACGAAAAGACGGACAGACGGACAGATAGACGGACGGACGGACGGACGAACGAACGAACGGTCTGACGGACGGACGAGTATAACTGCGAAGTTTAATAAAACCTCGTAGTTTAATAATTACACAGTAAAATAGCATTTGACGTTACTTTTCGGCATTTAAAACAATTCCCATATCATTAGTTAGTGGAAAACACTGTTACACTTATAACGTTTTACTACCTTCACACACTGTGGTGTCTCCACTCCAATTTCTGTCCGCTTGGCATTTCCTGCGGCGTGATCCACGTAAAATGAAACCTTCATCACAGATAATCTCCACTTCGCTCAGGAAGGTGGTTTCTTTACCCAATAACGTGCCGTTCATTGGAGCAGCAAGCTTCCCACAGTCAACGGCTTCACAAGAAAATGTCAACAAAAAAGTTTCAGAGCTGTTTCCAGCAATGAGTATATTATTTCTTACGTAGTTGTGAAACACGTTACAGTACCCAGTAATCAACCCGGAACCTAGAAAAGACTATAACAATATCTGAACCTATCACCGTAAAAATACGTTTCCACCACACTTGAGCGCAAGGAAAGGCGCTCAGAGCAAAATGGCCCACTCGAACACAGCTTATATTTCTGTAATCTGAAGTAACTTAAGTGTTACTGAAGTACCTCTCGGGTGTAGGTTACACACCCATCCAGTTGTCAGGTTGCGCTTTAACCGAAAAACAATTTAACTCCCTGGGTTCAGAAAGACACCATGAGAAGAAAGTGTGTTTGCCCAAGAACACAACTGATGATGCTGGTCAGCGATCTAATTCGATCTCGATCCAATTATTATTAATTTTTACTATTAATAGCTAGCGCGTCTCCCAAAAAGGGGAAAATGTAGCTTGGGTTGATAAGTAGACTAGAATGGAGTGAGGCCTGAGTGAGGGTAGGGGGTCAAATAGTCTGTGAACCGGCTCTCTAGTCGAGGATGGGGCGCAGAGAAAGCAGGAAGAAAGTGGAGAGAAGCTATTTCCTTCTCGGCTCTTCCAGCCGCGGTCAGACACTTTCCAGTTTTCGAACCCTGCCCGCGTTATTTTAATGTGTTTTTGAGCAAAACAACATCTGGTACCGATAACCCATTCACCCTCTTCAATCCATATTTGGATCAGAATGGACAACCTGGATAAATTACGCAATTCATATCAAAGAAAACTTTTATCAATAAAAATGATTACCTTTACAAACAGGCATTTCTCCGCTCCAAGTCTTATCAGCCATACAGGTCCTTGTGGAGGAACCAACCAAATCGAATCCAACATCGCAACTAAACTTTATAGTGTTGGAAAAGGTTGTGACAGTTCCAGAAGACGAGCCGTTGATAGGCGAGGTTGGAGCACCGCAGTCAACCGCTATAAGAGATGAACGTAGCTTTTCATACATAGTGTAATTAAGACGTTCAACTTAAAAGTTGATGTCGGTATCACTTCATATAGGGTATTTTTGGCAATAGGAATGGCCGTATTTCCTACAGCAGTTTATAAAGTAGGTCATTAATTTAAAAAAACTGGAATTACTTCTCTCATATAAGGTGAAGCTTCCAATATTGCTTCTAAGGAATGTCAGCATATATTTTGTCCTTTCATTTTACATTTTGGGGCGGAGAATACAAAATTAGAGCGAGGTGGCTAGTGATACGATTGCTTATCGATCAATAACGGCTGATTATTAATAAAGGAAGTTCATTACCTTCGCAGGAGGTTTTGTTTCCATCCCATCTTCCGTCCGCTTGGCAAGTTCGTTTGCGAGATCCGCGAACAATGAAGCCTTTGTCACAGTTAATCTTCACGTGGTTTGGGTATGTAGTTTCTTCCCCTGACAGCGAGCCGTTCAGCGGAATAGGGAGCCTTCTGCAATCAACGGCTGGACAAGAGAAATAGAAAGACAGCAGATAAAGAAGTGTTTTCCATTTTTTTCTTTTCCAGATAAAGTGTTAATTGGTGTGCTGCAAATTACTTTGTAATCAAGGAAGGCCGAAAGTAACCAGTTTCTTATATTTAGCTACACTATTTGAGTTTCCAGGAGACAATTAACCTAAATTATTGTATCTTGTCACGCTTGTTTAACTTCCTTTTCTGAGGCTTAGGACTTCTTACAGCACTTTTTCCTCCGTGTTTGGTGCGTTACTTCTTAATTCTCGTACTCTTGTGGTGTGTAGTTGTATAAAATGGAACACATCATCAGGTAGAGTCTTGCTGATTAGCAGTAACTTCAGCAAGTTTGCATTCGCACCAGACGGAACAAAATATGAGATTACATTGATAATATGTCTACCACAAAGGGACATATTCAAAGCACAAGTACGATCCAATCGCACGGACGCTAAGCGATGATCAAGAATGTATTTGAATTCATGTACAGCTATGGCATGAAGGATCATTTCGCTCACCACATTAATTAAACGCTAGTAGGATTTACTTACGTATGCATGACACTTCCTTCCCACTCCAGTTTTTATCCGAGGTGCACATCCTTGTTTCACTTCCTTCCAGATAAAAACCGTCATCGCATTTGAACTGAAGCGAGCTTTGAAAAGTTGTTTCGTTGCCCATAAATGATCCATTCTTCGGACGAGGCGGAAAACCACAGTTTACAACTGAAATGAGATTAATTCGGATTTCTAACTAGTGAAAATAAAAAGGAAGCAAGTGGGAAAATAACAGACCTACGGCTTCGTTCTATCTAGATTGGGGTTCTTAGGAATTCATAGCCTGGGTCCCGAAAAGAGAAAGCAATCCTAACTCAACCCCCAGCCCTCCCTTCCTCCCACACCCAGTCCTCCACTGCACATCCTGCATTGCATTCCAAAGGCACCCAGAAAGGAAAAGGAAGGGAAAGGAAATTATAGGATGAAAAGTACTCATATTTGCCGGGCCTCTGTTAGTGGGTCCACGTGCAATTATGATGTCAAAGCAAAGTAAAATGAGATTGGTTATTCAATATCCACCATCTCAAATTTCGGTTATGTTGGAAACTTGTGAAAATGGATTGTAAAAGGCGAAAAATAATCTATGAGAATGCAGAGAGATGTTGCAGGAGAAGATGACAGCATCTCAGTCAAGAAGGCTAGGAAAAAAAGTAACAAATTTGGGTGAAACTTACTGTCAATGGAAGGTCAAGTAACGTGAGCACAGAATTAGCACACCATAATGTTACGATTGGGAAGTAAATACTTAGATTACAAAAGTACAAGTCCCAGGAAAAGTAGGGATTTCCGCTCTAAAAATGTCAAGGAAAGAATCGATTAGATCATGTTTTTGTTACATGAGAATAACATCTGACATTCTGCAACCCACACCTTTGCAAACTGGCTGTGTTCCAGTCCACGTTCCGTTTAGCAGACACTTGCGATCCGGTGACCCCACAAGGTCATACCCTAAGTCACAGTTGAAGAACACTACGCTATTGCCAGAATATGTTACCCCAAGCTTTCGACCATTTTCAGGAGTTCCAGGATCTCCACATCCTCCCTCTGAAAAGGGAAAAACGACACATTGACAATGAAATGCAACCGCACATTACAGGATGTCTTCGAACACCGTGACAAGTGGTATATAAACAAGCACTAAAAATCTGTGACCTCACGCTAGGGCGTAGCTTTGTGAACACGTTTCATGAGGCACCTGGTTTTCCTTCTCACATAATGAACATTTCTGGTAGCGGCAAAGTAAGTGATAGAGACATGTTCAACAGAGGCTGCATATTCAAGGTGCCGTAAATTTGATCTACCTGTAAATCTGTTTGCTCGTAACATGTCGATCTCTTGTGGGTCTCAGCTGTCTACCAGACAGAACAATACCAATATAAGTCATTCCAGGCTGGACATAGATTACTCACCAGTACATTTGAAAGGCAACACGGTCCATCTTCCAAGAAAGCACATTTGTGTAGCCATCCCTTCCTGGTTAAAACCTTTATTACATTTAAATGTGACTTTATATCCAGATCGGTACTTTTTACTTGGATTTGAAATGTTCGCGTTTCTTGGAATTGCCGGCTCTGGACAGTCCTGCACTGAAATCAATTGAGAGAAACAGCACGTAGTGACTATTAAGTGAGAGCCTGACTCTGCTAGCTGTGAAGTCGTATAACGAAGTACGTAACTAATAACTTACTAAACTAGCGGTAATAAAACTATATGGATTTATATGGGGACACTAATATAAAAATACTGTTTTAAAGCTAATACAATATAAAAATATAAATAAGATAAGGATGCATAACATATACGATAAAAATGTAAAAAGGCATTAAGAATCCCATAAAATGCAGTTATTACCACAACTATCAGTCGAAATATCCTAGTCAAGTTTGTGAATGTTGTTCTTAAACGCTGACAATGTCGGTGACAAGGATGCTGTTGTGTTGAAGATACGGTATATGGATATCGGAACAATAGTTAGCAATTCAACTTAAATACATGCAGATTACTTATCTTAATTTTTATGGTGAATGTCGACACACTGTGAGCACCAAGTAAACTAACTGACAGAAGCTATCTCTTCTTCTACAGCCCCACAGGGTGACAGAAATCAGTTCCACTTACAGCATCTTGGAGTGAGACCGTCCCATCGTTTTTTTGCGGTACATCTCTTGACAGGATCCGTGTTCAAATTGTATCCTTCGTTGCAAGTATAATGAGCTGTAGAGTTGTAACTTGTTCCCGTGAAATTCAGTTTTCCATTCTGTACAGAAGGTGGATTACCACATGACATACCTAGTAGCAAGACATGACAGTCACTGGGATTCTCACCGAAGTAAGGTAGGAGAGTTATTTTTTTCCTTTATTCCCAATTCAAGGCTAAAGAGTGAGGTGGCAGTCTAAAATTAAAGGAGCTCAATCACGGTATTTTGCGTTATTTTGACGACGTCTAAAATTACTCTTGAATTGAGGGAAACCTAGAAATAGTAGTTTACTAAGATAGAAAACATCAAAGAGATTATAATACACTATTATGGAACAAGGATGGTTAAGGATGGAGAAGATAGACACGGATTACAAACGACGACCTTGAAAAGTTTAGACTAATGTTTTCAAGACGCGCAACCATGACGTAGATTTTTTAACTAGTTATCTTATGAATATCGTTTTGAGGAACGACGAAATCATAGAAACATTGAACACCTATGAGAGCCAGAGAAAAAAGAAAAATCATTGAGAGGTAAACGAAGCTCGGTGTTAAAAAAGACACACTTTTCCACATCTGTGTATTTTAAAAACATATCTGCAAGAATCGATTGTCTGAAAGTGCGCCGTAAATCTAGAAATATGTGGAATAAAACAGAAGATTTGTGAACTACGCTCACAAACTGCTGGCTGGTTAAGGGTTGAAGTCCTAACCATGAAAAATTGGCCCATTTAGTCGGTAAATTTGAATTCTTGCTTTGACTTTCGTAAAAGGAGACTAACCTTTCTCCACGCAACTAAAACCACAGCTACCGTCACAAAGGCATTGATACCTGCCTGAACCACATCCGCTCTCAGGAGAGCACTCTTGAGTACATTTGGTCCGAGCCGCCCGGATAGTCCTTTTACACGAGTGAGTACCTTGACAGAACACAAAGGTAAAATCAGAATGTGGATCACATATTGGAGTAAAAATTGCAAGAATTTTGTGTATACATACGCACCATGTAACAAAGCTATACCCCTGTTTTCCAAAACAATAAATTTTCCACGTAGTATGTGGAAAGCTTGTCATTTTGCAACCTAAGCAGGGACTGCGCGGTTAGTGGTAGAACTTTAGACCGGTATGTGGAAGGTTATGGTTGATCATGAGTTCTCGTGCTAGGAAAGCCCTGAAATATTTTTTCCTGAGTATGTAGTTCGGAACTGAGTCAAGAAAATGTCAATAGAAAGTATTTGATGCATTCCTTTAGGCCAAAAGCTGCGTTACTTTTTGTTGAATTGAAATTCCCGGCCCACTCCTCTGCTAATAAAATTGTTTTTCTCCGAATGACAAGGTCTTCTAGAAGCCAACATTGGAAAAAGACAGTGACCATTTCAAGAATTGAAACGGGACTTCTAGTTTCGTCAGTTGCATGCATAACATACCTTCGCATTTAAAAGGGAATCGAGTCCACAGTCCATTGATACAGATTCTGACAGGATTTCCATTGGGTAGTTCTTTAAAGCCCTTTTTGCAGGCTAATGTGATTCTTTCGCCAGTCATGTATGTGCGATTGAAGTTGTCCGGTTTTTTGATGTACGTAGAAAACGGGATGTTCGGTAAGGTACACATTCTTACTGGAAAAGAAGAAAAGAATTTAAGCGAACAATCAGAATATTTGGTGAACGGCCTAGATTTCTCATAAACGTACTCGCCTGCTGAAACATAAATAAATATGGTGATAACACGGCGATAAGAAAATAACTACATCTCTCTTATTTTTTCTGTCTTGCACGTAATATACCTTAGTGTTTTAACTCAATGAACATACATTCACTTGATTGTATTGTTATTTGTATTTGCCTTTGTGTTTCTAAATTTGTAGTGTCCGCAATTATGTATCAGGCTCTACCAAACTTAATTCATTTGGCACTCAAGAGAAGCAAACCTGTCATTATAAGTTAATGAAGAGCGAATTACGTTGTGCTCAAAGGAAAGGCTGTCTCTAATAAGACACACCAGCACAAAATAGTGTTAGTAGTCAGGATTACGTCAGGTGATACTTACAGCAGTTAGGTCCCACGCCATCCCAGTTTTCATTTGCCCGGCAGGTTCGTTGTGGGGCGCCAGACAATGTGTAGCCTTTGTTACAAACGTACGTAACAGTTTCTCCGAACTTAGTGGATGGGTATTGTGCCTCAGCATTCCTTACGTTCGGTGGTTTGCCACACGATAAATCTGTCCGATAAAAAATAAGTAAATAAATAAACAAATAATATGAGAGATCAAAGTCAATATCCAACTATCTTGACTAGAGAAGACTGGGCAAAGAGGGATTTATTATACGGCACCATTTCCTTGCGGGATAGGGCGGGAAATCCCGAGAGGGCAAGATAGCCCCATCATGGCCACTCGGTTAGTCACTCAAAACGTAGGATTTGGTTAATCTTTGCCGCTCGCGGAACTTGCCATATAATTTCACCTTTGATGTTTGCAATTATCATTGGTCCGTCACTAATATGTAAACCCGTAGTGTGCCTAGTTCTACTGTAATATGTGCTTAAAATATAGGTTAAAAACAACAAAATATTCCATCGACTCAAACTGTTGGGTGAGTGTACGTCGGCCGTGATCTCTGATTCACAGTATATGTAGTGCTGGGAAAGCTACAAAGATTTGCCTACCTTTCTTTACACAGCTGTATCCACAGTCGCCATCGCAAAGACACTCCTCTCCAGACCCACTGCAGCCAGTCGAAGGATCACATTGCGCCACACATATCCGACTAGGCTGACGATTCGTACGCTGGCACTCTGATTGGCCTAGATAAACAAACATAAGCAGTTCACAAAATCTTGATCATGCAGCGCGTTTCCTGATCGTTTGCTTCTGATAACGGATTGAAGAATAAGAGGGAATGATCTTTGATTACTGTAGTAACAGTCCTAATCTGCAATTCAGTGAAGATAAACGGTTATAATGCAAACGCGAACGAAAACGTCCAGCGCTAGCCAAGCAAAACACTTTGAAGGTAGGCTAAATATTCCGTCAAGGCCCTTGTCCTAGCCTCTTCCAGGCGTTCAGTTACATGGGGCGCAGCACGATAAATAGCGAGAGAAAAATTAGGGGAGAAGCACGGCGTTTTTCGCGCTGCACACCAACTAACTGAACGCCTGGAAGAGGCTATCAAGTCTCGAGTTGTCTGCCCTGGGTGCAAGAGGCTTTTCAGGCGCAGTTTCGAACTTAACTCGCTTCCGGCAAAACCAGTTATCCTCCTGCATGAGTTACCCAAGACTGTCAACTCCACACTTGTTCAAAGTTTATTTCACGTTCGCTTTACACGTGCTTCATGCTCATTCCACGCTTTCATATACAACGCTCACTTTACATCGTTTCTATCCGTCTTGTTTGACGCTCGCTTCTCGTTCTTTCTACGCTCGCTTCCTGTCATTCTATATCTGAAACACAGATTTACTCTGCTTGAAGCTCGCTTCGGGTCGCCTTGCTTTACGTTTGGTTTACTCGTTAAACGTTTAACCTGTGTCGGGCTCGCTCCACGCTCGCTTCCCTCTTATACCAAGCTTAGTATGTTGCACTCGCTTCAAGCCCCGCGCTTCACGCTCGACCACAGGCTCTAGTTTTGCACTCCTTCTGCGCGCTGGCCTCGCGATGTCTCAACGCTGGCTTCAAGCACACTTTACTCTTTTTAAAGAGAATCTTTTAATATTTTTTGTTTGTCACTTAAAATAACATATTTCTTCTTTCGATCTTATCTCTCATTTAACATCAGAATTATGTACAGATACGTTATCACAAGGATTCTCTCTTATCGCGTTACAAATTAGACTTCCATCACAGAGGATCACACCCGCGTCAGTTGCTGTTAGTCTACCTCGCTGGGACTAGCTGAGATATGAACGTATCAAAGTTTCGTCCATGAAGAAAACAGCACGGTAGTTCCGAAGACAGATTGTGAGGGAAAAGAGGAAACAAAAACAAAACTAAAAAACGTGACGGTAACAAATAGATAGGTCCCGACTAATCTGTTGTTCGGGCTAATCCATTATAACCCGCTTACTTCCAGTAAATCCCTGCAGAATCATATCTACAGGAGCGATTCCTAGCTATAAACTCAAACACTTCCCTTTTGACAGAAAATTTCACCCTCCACGGAGAGAAAAACACTGCCTGCTGCGTGGGTGAAAAAGGGCCGCGCAAAGCATTTGTTTCTCTCGCATTTTCGATGTTCAAGCTTATCGTTCGGCGCTGATTGTGTAAAAGTGAAAATTCCCGATGAAAATTTCGGTAATTCTGATAAGTAAACGCCTATTTAAAATAGCCGCAACTAACACATAAGAAATATTTTATCAACAGCCCAACATATTTTTTTTTCTTTTTTTCTCTTCAGAAAACTTGATATTGTTTATAGAAGTGGTAATGACCTCGTCGCAAGAAAATCGCATGCACCCTGAAGACTTCCTGTTGTGACGCGGAATCCGGATTTTACGACGCAAGTATATCGGCTGATATACCTTGCTCTAGAAGCTATTCCAGATCATATCGCTATCAAATATAAAGCTTCATCGATGGATTACATCAATCGATCTACCTAGCTTGAGTAACATCCATTAGTATTGCATGATGGTATAAACAAAAGTTTATCGCTCACGTCTTTAATCACAGAGCAATCGATAAGTATTGCCCAAAGTTGATACAGTTAGTGTATACACATTCTGTTTGAATGACATGTCTTTACAACTATCAAAGTAAATTACAACCGGGCGAGATGGATATTCGCGACCGTGACCATATACACACGTCTAAAATATGAACCCTGCATGTGTTTCAAAACGGATACTATTTTAACGAACAAAACTCACCTTTTACTGTACGCGAAGAAAAGATCATCCACAGCAGCAATGAAGTAAGAATAATCCTCATTTTGTCATCCGCCTGTAGCGAAATGCTTGCTATTCGGATGACATACGTATTAGCTGCTTGTTGACTACGGACGAAACCGTGAAATCCAACCGGGGCTGAAGATTCAAACCTCTCATCGACGTCAATTGCTACAATTGTAGCTATCATGTTTCATTACGTGCGATATACTTTTGCAAACGTCATTTTGAATTCGTCACGCAGTCTGTCAGCCGCAGGTTTAGTTAAAAAGATGGGCAACACCATCAGCTCCTGCATCAGATGAATCCACTGGATGACGTGAATTTTCGCCGTCAATTGTGATTCCCTGGATAGTGATTTACGTTGGTCAATAACATGATTTGTTCCTTTGATGGCCTGTAAGGAGTATTAAAAAGGTGCGCCACGGGCCCGGGCGGGGGGGGGGGGGGGGGGGGGGGGAAGGTGTACTCCTAGAAAAATTGAGTGGGGGTGTACGGCCGCTTCCCAAAGCCCTTACCCTATTTATCACCAGAATCTGCGATTTATGACCTGATCAAAAATTCGATACTCTATTTATAGCCGTTGAGGCAGGCACAGTTGCTCTAAACACAATTTATGAAGGGCTTTTGTTGATGGTCTTATCGATAATTATGAAAATGTAGCTTGTGCTAAAAAAAACATACCTAATTTAAGACCAGAGTGCAAAAACCATACCCTATTTCTGACCAAAATGACCAAAATCGATACCCTATTTATAACCAAAACGGCTGAAAAACCATACCCTTTGGGGCCGCACATACCCATATAGCCCATATAAGGGAATACCCCATCCCCCGGGGCCACGGAACGGTATTATATGTTGCGTTGCAAACCACCTGATGGTATTGACGGTATTCACAGGGAGAACTTCTTATAGCTGAAGCGGGCGACAGCTTTTATTCGTCTGATCCGTTATAAAGTCGATTATTATATATCTCAGTTACTACGCGAGGGGAAGGTATGTATTGGAAAAGTGTCAAGGGCTGGGTGAGGAGAGGGGGGTTTACCTGAAGAAATGCAAGATGTTATATGGGTTTAAGAAGATTAGGTCCCACTAACTCTGTCCGCTTACAGATTGCTCTGCACAAGGGATTTAGGAAGAAAATAGCAGTAACTCTGTCAGGAAATTTATTACCACAAATAGGTTAACACCCAGAAATGAAAACATGGTCACTCGCATTTTCGACTACATGGCTTTCACTGAGCCACGGTGGCGTTCACATCTTTCTCTAAACAAGTAAACACGATGTGGTAACTTGCATGGCTATCACAGATCTTTCAGGGAACGTAATTCATCGCCTTTTTTGATATAATAAGTTATAGCAGCTTATAAACAATACCTCTGAAATTTTTATAACAATATTTTGGTGATTCTATCGTGTTATGGTGGCCACTCAGTAACCGCCATTAGAAATCTGCAAACTGCTATGTTCTTAATAGCCTAGGCTCTTTGTTTCCACCCCATCTCCTTACAACCTCCAAAAATATTCGGTTAAGCCTCAAAACTGGTTTAATTAAATGATACTCAAAAACGGGTCAATCATGACGTCACGCAATTCAGAATGTGGGCCATATTGGAATTTTTTTTTCAAAAAAGCAAGAACATCCCCGAACTTGATTCAAAGCTCAGAAACAATAACAGGAGCTTAGGAAACGTCGTCATCTGATCAAGCATATGAGCATATGACACGCCAGAATGTCCCCTGTTATACGTTTGGAAAAGTCATAAAGTTCACCCACTACAGATAGGTTAAGATTTGTATAAGTTACAAAAGTTTGAAGTCCAAGATCTTTTATAACTTAAGCCTTAAGCCTTAAAACTTAGTTTCGATCTCGCTAAAAACATAATCATCCACAATGCTAAGAAATCTATTCAGCTGAGTAACTTCAAGTTTAGTTTACTCGCTGTCAACACAATGCTATAGCAATCATATGACTTATATCGAAATTTGAAGAGGAATGCCGTGGAGAATTCGGCATAACGAGATTTTGTGATACAGTCTTAAATAATAAAACGGATTTTTGGGAACAGAACGATGACGTATTCCCAGTTCCTTTTTTATCCTCAGGCACCAAATCGTTAATTGAAGGCTGGATTTGCTAACTGTCCGAGGAGTTCATGACCCATAGTCCTCGTCATCATTGTCGCTCCAAATTGTGTTTTTGCTGTAGGTATACCATCCATCCTCACTAGATCCTGAAGAATCGCCAGCTCTGCTTTCGTCGCCATGTTCTCTTCCATCGTCTGAGTACGTTTCCCAGCCATGCCCTGAGCCGGAATAACCACCGTAGTCTCCACCTGTAAAGAACGCATAAAAATCTGTTCAATAATGCCTCTAGTTCACAAAAGCTGGTATGTATATGTATAGTTTCCCTTAGCCCTTTTGACACCTCCAATTGCATAGTCTCCTTCTATAGATCGTGCTGCTGCTATATAATCATTGTATATCGATTAGTTTTGCATCCTGTAAAAATTCCACTACAGGATATATTATAGAGCTTTACACTACTTCTTACACAAGTCTCGACTGGACTAATATACTTTCATTAAGGTGATTCTTTTTATGACTCCTTCAAGATGTATACTACTTTTTTCATGTTTTACTCGATATTCTTATTAAGTTAATCACCCACTCAATGAATCAGATGAATCACTCGATGAGGAAGGCAGTCAATCCGTCCGTCCTTCAGTCACTCCATCTATTGTCCATCCATCCATCCATCCATCCATCCATCCATCCATCCATCAATCCATTCAGACAGATAAAGAGACAGACAGGCAAACAGATCGACAGATGGCCTGTTCCAGGCTCTCGGTCAGTGGGAACGATCGAAAAAGCGGGCGGGCGACGAGCAGGGTCTGGGCTGTCCTCACTGACTGAGAGCCTAGAACAGGCTTATCGACAGACAGACAGACAGACACAGACAGACACAGACAGACGGACGGACGGACAGACAGACAGACAGACGGAAGGACGGACGGACAGACAGACAGACAGACGGACAGACAGACAGACAGACAGACGGACAAACAAAAAATCAGACAGAGACTTTCAATCTACAAAATATTGAATGAAGTATATTGGTCGTGGTTATTTCATTAGTCATTTCGTTTGGTCAGTCAATTCAGGGACAAACATTTCCAGTTGAAAACTTTACAAACCTCTCGAATGTCCACACTTCCGATTCCTGCAATATCTCATTTGAACTCTTGCAGCCTCATTACACGGCATGCCACCATTCTGAGGTTTGGGTGAGTCGCACTTTCGCCCACGTGACCGCATTCCTAGTCCACAAGTCAAGCTACATTCTGACCAGCGACCCCACTCACCCCAGTCTCCATCGATCACTTAAAGGAAAACACAGCCCAACTCTTTACATTGAAGCTTCATGAAATGTGTTAGTGTCAACTGTCTACAATAAAGTAATCCTATATTCATATTATTCTTCGCATTTCCTTCGTTTACGCACAGTATCCAACAGAAGAGTTGGTATAACAGGCACCGTATAACATGCATACAAACATCTGCGAACCTGGACAATTCTGTTTGTTGCATTTCTCCTCTTCTACTCTTTCAGTCTCGTTGCACGGCTCGCCACCATTCTCGGGTTTGGGTGAGTCACACTTTCGTTCACGTGACCGCATTCCAGGTCCACAAGTCACGCTGCATTCTGACCAGCGACCCCACTTGCCCCAGCCTCCATTGACTAACAGGAAATAAACAACAGTATCGGTCACTGCATGCAATGGAATCGACAGCAATGGACTCAACAACATGCTCAGTTGCTAGCACGGTTACGGGAGAGCCAAAGTCAATTCTACGCGTAGTTGTGTATAAAATAGTTATAATTAACAAATTTACCATCAGTACTTTTAGGGAAGTTTTTCATAATAAACCTTTAAATTACATTTATTTCCGGAAGGTACACAAGAATCGCAGGAGATCGCAGGATTATTTTGCCAGCATATTCATCATATGATAGTAGAGTGGCTTGCCCAGGAACACGACAAATGATCCCACTCCTTGTATTTCCCAAGACCAGTTCGCTAACTATAAAACCACCGTGCTTCCCAGTGATATACTTTAAAGGCAAGGTAATTTTTTGGCTACTTACCTGGGGCAGAACATCCATAAAGCTCCAATCTAAGACAAGAAACCTTTTTTAAAGTCTCATTTGGCGTCACGCTTTTAGGAATCATTGGATAAACACGAATCGAACGTGCTGGTATTGGGGGCTGTAGATCGTGGTCCTCTAATCTTTGAGGGTTTTGATTGCCCTGAAGTGTCTTTATTAACGAAAAAAGATCATATATTTTTAAATTGCAAACAGATTTTTAAAAAATTACTGGACAATACAGCTAATAACCATGCTTTCCTCATAGATCAAGCCCTGTGCCGGGTTGTTCAAATCCCGATTAAGCTAACCCAGGATTAGCGACTTTTCAGTGAAATTTCCTGTGTATAATGTTTGTCCTTCAGTTTTGAGCTTGAGTAATCTCAATATACCGGCGTAATACATAAAAAGTGAAAAACGTTTTCATTCAAGAAAAATTAATGCTTCGGCTAACTTTTAATCCTGGGTTAGCGTTAACAAGCTATCGAACAAACAGGCTCTGGGCTGCTACCCTCAAGTCCATCAAGCAGGATTTATATTTGAACTGATGTTTAAAAAAGTGCTATGTTTGCCTCTGTAATATTTATTTCAACTTTCCACCTGTTATTACGTCGGGCAATAGACTACTGCCGATTTGCCCTCAGCCCCCTTTTCAAAGCAATTCCTCGTGCAAAACCTTATGGAAATGACAGTGATTTGCCCGATAATATAATGAATGTGCAGAAGAACCAAATTTTCATATGATCGGTTTCACGAGAACACTCGTTTTGATACAAGAAAAAGTCAACTTGAAAATATTCTGCTGGTCAAAGGCTGCAAACTTAGGCAATAAACATGGTAATGATAACAAAAAAAAAATGCATGGGCAATGATTCTAACCAGCCAAATAAAAATATTACCTCACGTAATTGGATAATTCCCTTTTCGTAAATAATGCAAACTACCTACATATTATCTACGGGTGGAAATCCTATCCAGTAAAAACTCATCAGCGTCGGATCACGTTGCTGCAACCCCATAATTTGATTTTTTTTTTTTGTTAACTCTTGTAGTAATTTTACACTTACCAGAGTTCCATTTGCTTTTCGATAAGTAACCCATTTTCCCTCCTTGAGGTACTTGATTTGGTATTTCGTTGCCCACCTCAAATCCTCTAAACTACCCTGTGTCATAATCATTGTTATTGACTTTTTCTTGCCCAACTGGATTTGTATATAAGGTGAATTATCATTCCGCGCCGAACACCATGCTCCCTGCCCGTCCAGTCGTGCCAAGGCAGGGGCATGATTTGAACTGAGGCTGGAAGATGCTCTGATGTTCGCATCTGGAATGGCTTTGCTTTGCATTCCCAATTCATGATCGCAATCTCCACCTGCAAGAGAGTCAGAAATAAGGGACGATCTGAAATTAATTACTTACAAAATTTTCAAAATCCGAACTCTGAATTTAGCGTTCCTCGCATAAAACTCGAAGCCATGGACAGCATCTGAGATGGAAGCGAATGCATTCTGAACAGCAGCGCTTAAAACGGCGTAACATAACTCAGATATAACATATACCTTCCAAATAGACTAGTTATGGAACGCTTTCGAGTGGTATACCGTGGAATATTCCACGAGTCACTTGTATTTTCTCGGTAAACACACAAGCCTTTACGTGAGTGTGCATACCAAGAAAATACAAGTGAAAAGTGAGGTATTCCATGGTATACCACGAGAGAGCGTTCCATAACTATTTTATACCATGCATAGAAAATCCAGTCGTCAACACAATCAATGCGACATGCTACACGATGGGAAGGTTGGGTGTACCGTCGAATATACAACGGTTTTCCTGTGTTGTGAATGGCTGTCCTTTCTATGGCGTGGTATAAATAGGTCTATAGGCAATAATAATAACAATAGTTTATTGACACTCCCGTAATGGGGATTTTCAGTGACAATACAAGAGAGCTAAACTAATTAAGTTAAAAGAAATGGTTTACAATTCAATTAAAAGGGAAAGAATGCGATGAAATAGGCAAAACAGTAGCAGGGGCGAAGTCACTAATTTCCGTGAGCAAAAAGCGTTATATAAAGTTAGTGCGACTAGGCCCTTTCTTACGAAATAAAAGACGGAAATTCGAAAAAAAAAGTTCTAAAACAGTTGATGACATTCTTCGTTCCAGTTTAAGGGAGCTCAGTCACGGTTTGCGCATATTGAAAAGTCTAGCCTCAATTTTTCCAAATTCATTGTTTGTAATCCGTGTTAATCTTCTCCATCCTTTGCCATCCTTGTTCCTTTATGGTTTATTATTACATAACTCTTTGGTGTTTTTCTATCGTACTGAACTGTTATTTTCAGGTTTCCTACCATTTAAAGGTAATTTTGTATGTGGCCAAAATAACTCAAAATACCGTGACTGAGCCCCTTTAAATTTATGTTGCCGCCACATGGGCGGGCTGTTCATGTCTAGACCTTGTTGTCAGTGGTCGACAGGAAAGCTAGTTTTCGGGGTGGCCGTTACTTTCATTTTTGTTGTTGTTTTTTTTACGGTACTTTGGCTTGCAAAACTGTAGTTTAGGTGGCAAATTGCAATGGTAATACCAAATTTGCCACAATTTGTATTTACAGGCATGTCTTTGCAGTTTTCGCTGGCAGTTTTCGCTCGCAGCTGTTCTTTTCCCTCGCAACCGCAATGAACAGGAGTTGCTAGCCAGTTGGCATTGACCTTGGTCTACGACTGCAGGAGTCATCTTCAAAAACGCTCGTGTAAGAGATTTGCAATGAATTACATAATTTCTCCTGTGGCGTTGGAACTCTGCCTTTACGAGTTCGGGGGATTGCCAACAGGGAAACAATATCAGTTACAGACGGTAATAGTAGGAGAAATGACAAACGATTTGTTTCTTCAATAGAAAGCTAAAACCAAATTCTTCAAGTACAGACTTAATCTCTCGTTTGACCTGCAAAGGTCTGCAGTAACCTAACGTAAATTGAGATAGCATTGCAACAACTGACAAATAAAAACTACATGAATTCTGAAGTGTTGGAAACCTGATTGTTTGAGGTAAAAATTCAATTTGTGTCTATTTATCGATTGATATCGATCCCTAGCACGAGTTAAAAAAGTTGTGACGTTGGTCGGTTTATTTACAGCTTCCTGTTTCGGTATAAAGAGCTGAACTCGGCGGCTGAATCGATCTTTTCCTTTTTCCGGTTTCCATGAATGATTCGTCAGAATTTCACGGAGATATTAACTACATTATTTTCAAACTGGAAGAAGAAGAAAAGCCGGGAGGAAGAAGAAGAAAAAACAGGCTTTCGTCCAACTCGTGCGTGGCAATGTACATCACTCAGTAACTATAATCATGACTGTATATCAGTAAAAGGTTAGATTGTAGGGTTTATGCAATAACAATCAACGCATAAGCCGATTTTCAAAATGAAATAAAGTAAAAGAGATTCAACTGCGCTCCTATGAAAACAAGCATCATTCGCTGGAAAACATTTAAATGCGCAATGCTGAAACCATTCACAGTATAAGCTTTCGTGAACATTAAACACTGGAATATAATTCGATCGGAAATCAAACCTCACCTTTAACTTCACGGGAGTTAAAAATAATCCAAGTGAAACACGTAATAAATAGGATCCTCATAGCTCTTACTTGAATGTATTACGACGTGACTTCACAGTCAAGCTTAACGTTGCCTTTTTGTGGACACAAGCCGAAAGAAAACGGAGTCGACGAGCTCCTGTTGACGAGGGATCGAAGACAAAGCTGAAACTGTTTTACAGGGTTATTAAATGGGTCACGTTCTGTATCTTAAAATATGTTACAGGGTATTCATTTCAATCATTTTTTGTCTTAAACCAGGACACGTTTCAGCATGCCCTTTGGATTTGTTTATGATCATCGAATAGGTTATGATAGTAATTATTTTGATAATAATTATAATAAATATATAATTTTATAATAAAAATAATACCAAACAAGTTTTATAATTGAGGAGTTTTGAGGAAAGTTACATAGAAAAGGGAAAATCCCCCTTTTTGACCTAGGTGAAAAACCCGAGATCGGGGGGGGGGGGGGGGGG